ATAATAAACCATAAAAATTATAAAATATATTGTGCCTTTGTAAAACCTTGAGAGTTTGTTGTTGTTGTTGTTGTTGTTGTTGACATGATAGCCCTTAAACAAAGTGAAATAAACTGAACTTAGAACAAAAACAGCAACTTCAGTTGCTGTTTCAAAAAATATTAACCAAAGTTATTAAATACATATAAAAATTAATAAATACATATAAAATCTGTGTATATAAAACCATCATGTATAATATTTATAAATCCTATGCATATATGTAAAATACACATGTATAATATTAATGATGAAAAGTTAGAGAACTGAAAGGTATTTGAAACATTAATAAAGTTATCCAAAATATTTTTGTATTCTCTTGATCACAACCTTTTACATTTTTATGCCTGTTTAAGAATGTGTATAATATATAAATATAATCATAAATTAAACACATATTTGTAAATATGTGTACATGTGTATACTGTACATTCTCAAAATGTTTTACCTGAGAGGAGGTGATAGTTATTAAAAGTTTGAGGACTACTGTTTCACATTTTGGAATAATGACTCATTGAAGGTTTTGAGCCAGAAAGTGATAAGTCAATACATCAGGATTATGTCAAGAAGTGTACTGAAGAAAAAAAAAATGGCAGCAATATGCTATACAAGAGACTATTTTATAATGAACTGTAAAGAGAAAGAAAGGAGATGGCTAATAGATTGTTGAGATAATTCAGGGATTGAATAAGGAAGATAAGGAAGGAAATAGGAAAGAGAAGCTAGATGCAGTGGATATACTGTGGAGGTGAAGTCTACATGATTTTAATAAATGATTCATTACTAGGGAAAGTGTGTGTGGGGTGATGAACCAGAAGTAACTATGAGTTTCTCCCTGGGGTACTTAAATAAAGGGTGAGGACATTGTGAAAAATAGAAATGCTATGTTGCATGTTTGGTTTAGAATAGAATACATTTTCTTCAATTTAGGTCATAATTTATTCAAATAAATCAGCCTAGCCATTATTCATATTCATTTTTAATTTATTCAACAAATACTGATTCGACTCCTACTACATTCAGAAACTGTGTAAGGTACCAAGTATTTCAAGATGAATGAGATGGTTTCTAGCCTCAGGGAGCTCACAGATTAAAGAGAATAATAAAAACACGTAGGAAATGATACCCAATGTGAAAAGTGCAATGCGAATACCACCTGTAGGGTGATTTGCAAGCACAGGGAGGGAACATCTAGCCTGCCTGGGAACGTTTTTTTTGGAAGGTGAGGCTCTTTCCTGAGCAACCTAAAAACATGAGTAAGTGCTAGCCAAGGGATGAAGAAGGGAACGTGTTCCAGGCAGAAGGGACAGGATGGCCAAGGCTCTGCACAATGCATATGGGAAGCTCGAGCAGAAAGAGTTCAACAGAAGTCAGATCCCCCATGACAGGTGGACTGCTTAATACTGCTAAGAGGCCATATAAGGGCTCGTATATTCTGCAAAGAAAATCAATAGCAATCAATTAAAAGCAGAAGGCTGTCAGGCCCATGCAGAATGGCAACAGGGAGAGGCCAAATAGAAAAAAGGGGAAATCTATGGTTTACATGCTAAAGCTGCAGCACAGAAGTTGAACAATGAAACCATTAACTGTGGCTATTTAAATAGAAGACATTACTCCCAAGTGATTAAAGTTGGTATGTGTTAAAATATGGTGTGTGTTAAATGAAAGAGGCCAGCTGGCAACCCTGAAGATTGGGACCACACTCGCAGGCAAGTAAACACTATTATTGGGTGTCGGAAAAGCCTTGACGTATTTTGTCTGTTTTTCAAAGGTCATTTATTTATATAAAGAACAAAGATCATCAATGATATATTGCCCGTTATGTTCAATAACCTTTTGCCATCTTTCAGTGAGCTTCATAATTCCTCGTTTATAGAAAGACCTGTCTTTATTGGCGAAGAACTGAACAAGGTGCTGATTTACAGCCTCATCTGAATTGAACGTTATACCGCGCAAGGAGTTTTAAAGAGAGCAAAACAAGTGGAAGTCTGATGGTGCAAGTTCAGGCGAATATGGTGGGTGTGGCAACACATCCCATCCAAGCTTCAATAAGTTTTCACAAGTGATCAAACTTGTGTGTGGTCTCGCGTTGTTGTGATAGAACACAACTCCTTTATAATTAACAAGCTCTGGACATTTCTGGATGATGGATTAGTTCAAACTGTCCAATTGCCAACAGTACACATTTGAATTGATTGTTTGGTCCTTGGTAGGAGCTCGAAAAACACGACACCTTTAAAATCCCACAACACTGAGAGCATAACCTTCCTCTGATGTATATCTGTTTTCGATGTCGTTTGAGGTGAATTATCACATTGGGACCAAGACTGTTTGTGCACCACATTGTTGTAAACAATCCATTTCTCATCGCCAGTTATCAGTCACTTCAAAAAAGGATCGTTTTCCTCATGTTTAATGAGCATATTACAGATGTTTATATGCACCGTCAAATGAACTTCTTTGAGTTCACGCAGGACCCAAATGTCAAGCTTACTTACGTATCCCAGCTTCTTCGGGTAGTTGTGAATGCTTGAATGATGGACGGTCAGTGTTTCTGCAATCTCTCGTGTCATGTAATGTGGGTTTGACATGATCAATGCCTTTATTTTGTTGTCATCAACCTCGGTAGGCCTCCCTGACCGAGGAGCGTCATTGAGATCAAAATCACCAGCACGGAATTTCGTGAACCATCGTTGGCACTGACTTTCTTGTAGAGCATTGTTACCATAAACTTTATGCAACTTTTCACAAGCTTGATGTGCATTCTTCCCTTTATAGAAGTAAAACAGCAAAATATGGCAAAAATGCACAGTTTGGTCTTCCATCATCAACTTGTTGTAAAATCTCCAAAACTTAACCAAATTGCTCAATTTTTTTTAGAATTAAGCTAGAACTGTCAGCTATCAAATGATATAGCAATAACATAGATGTGAATGACTCTAGTACTTCCAAAAATGAACTAGTGCCATCTGTCGCAAACATGTGTCATGACTTTTCCAACAACCCAATAGAAGCTTGCTTCTACTAGAGATTACATGCATCCATATAAGGAAAGAGGACATAACCAGAGCTCCAGAAAGTACATGAAGGCTTACATTTCACTATTAAACTATGTATTTATGTGCACGTACATACATGTGTGTGTCAGAAGAAACTGGAAATCAAAGGGGTTAGATAATGTGTGAAAATACATAAGTTTTGTCCGAGAATGTGGAAATGAAGTATGAAGATATGGACTGGAATGAAGGAATATTGTATAGTGTCACTTATGGTGGTGTGAAATAGCTCAGGTTAATGCCCCAAATATGTGTCACATTACATATTGTATAATACATCTTTATACATCTTAGTTCATCAGATCCTCATTATTCAATAACCCAGGTGGTGTCATAGTGTTTTGCAGATGAGGAAATTAAGAACTGGAGGCAAACGGTGTCATAATGGGAGCAGAGCTGAGATTCAAACCAGGTTTTCTGACTCCAAGGCCAGGTCACCTACTACTTCACCAGTGGTTTTCTAACGGGCTTCGTGGAAGCCTAAGGGATGGTTGTCCAGTATGGCTTCAGAGCCAGCATGTTGGACATTTGTAACTTTTGTTTGGGCTGTCAAGTGTCTGTCTCCCTTTCTGTGGTGACAACACATCAATACCCTTTTGGAGAATTATCATTTGACAATTGATTTTTTTTTAATGTATAAGGATAGCTTTTGTATGCAGAAAAGAATCCTTACATCTGCATTCATTTTCATTAGTAGTTGCTATATTAAAATTTTAATGCAAGTTTAAATATAACATATATTAAGTAAATCTAGTTACAAATCTAGTGATTGTTAATTGCTACTCACTTAGTTTCTAAATTTAAGCTATTCAATTTCTCCAATTATTTAAGTACAACTTACATATTTAATTCGTATATTATTTTAAAATTTTTATATTAGTGTCATGCAAATTATATATTCTCCTAAATATTAAAAAATGTTTGTAAATGTGGTTGCCTTAATTTTCTAAAGCATTTTATAAAGAACAGGACAGCCCCCACAACAAAAAATTATCCAGTCCATAATGTCAGTAGTGCAGTTGACCCTTAAGCAACACCAGTTTGAACTGTAGGAGTCCACTCATACACGGATATTTTTCAATAAATACTGTACTGTTTTCAATCTGTGGCTGGAAGTCCTCAGATTTGGAGGGCTGGCTGTATGCATTGATCTGTATGCATTTTATATGGGGGACTTGAGAATTCACGATTTTGGTATGTGAGGGGGGGGGTCCTGCAACCAATCCTCCACAGATACCCAGGGACAACTTAGGTTTTTGGGGAGTCGGAAGTTACACATGGATTTTTGACTTCTGTGGGGAGAGGTTTGGGGCCCCTAACCCTTGCGTTGTTCAAAAATCAACTGTAGTGTCAAGGTTAAGAAACCCTGGCTTAGAATAACTCAACATTGGAATCGAATAGTCTTTTAGAAGTTTAATAAAACTCAGCTGTGGCGTCATCTCTTCCTATGTCTTTTTCAATATTGGATTTCTAATCACCTTTAGATAGGCTTTTCATTGGTAACTGATGAAGCAAGTCCTTACCACACTCTGCTATATGCAAAATCATATTTGCCAGGCGGGCAGTAAAGAGCCGCACAATCTGTTCTGCAAGCTCACTGAATTCCTAGCTTTCTGTCCTTTTGGGGGATTTTGATAAAAATATTGAAAGTAAAGGTTAATAATAAATTATATAGCTTTTCTGTAAATCCTTTTAGCTTTCTAGAGATACACTTATGTCACCTACAAATCATGTGTTTTTCTTTGCTCACTCTAGTTTTTATGATTTTATTTCTGTTTCTTGATTTATTGTTATGGCTAGAACCCCCAGCCTCCTCGCCCCTCTGAGGGTTGTGCCCCTCCTCCCAGGAACCCGTGGCGTTTCCAGGAGCCTGCCTGAGACTTGTCCTGCAGGGCCTTCCGAGGGGCGCATGCGCGGCACCCTGTGCACATGCGCAGTGCTCGCGCTGCCGGGCTTGGGTGGCTGCCGCCCCGCTTGGAGCTAGACGCCGGGCGCTATGGCCTCGGGCGGCGGGGAAGTCGTCGCGGTGCCGGCGTCCGGGGCTGCCATCGGCCTCGGCAATGGGGCAGGTGGGACCTCGGCGCAGACCAACAACCCGCTGTCGCGGAAGCTGCATAAGATTCTGGAGACGCGGCTGGACAATGACAAGGTAACGGGGGGCTGAGCCGGGCCGGGGGCGGCGTCTGTCCGGCACCCAGTCTCTGCTGCCCGCCGCGGAGGGGACCCCGGAGCCGCGGGATCCGCGGCCGTGCCTTCGCGGGGACGGTGGGCGGGGAGGCCGGGAGCCCCTGGGAAAGCAGAGAGGTTTCCGGGGCGTTCCTGCTCTTTAGAAAGGTTCCTGGAAGACGCGATTCGGGAGGCAAATGGTGGGGTGCCTCCACCCGCGGAGGTGCTGGGGGTCCGAGCTGGGGGAGCTCAGGCAGGACGAGACACCCAGGCAGAAGCCACTGACACGACAAGGGGGCGCGAATCCGGTTTGCAGGAACCGGGAACGGGGCCAGGCGTCATGGAGCGTGTCCACAGACGAGTGAAAACAATTAAAACAGGCAGTTATTTTACACAGTGACATTTTAATTTCTTATTTATATTAGTTTGCTTACATTACACTTTATATAATGTAATCCGGAAGAACCTGCCCCTGGCTCAAAGGACATGTCTACTCGTTGTTGTTGTTGTCAGCTAAGCACGGTCTGGGTAACTTGTGGGCTCGAGCTGTGTTTCTTGACGAGATCAACAACGGTGCACATCTCAGCCAAGCACCTCCTGCAACTCGATTGCCTTTCCCAGCTCCTGTCACAGCTGGTGGTCTTGTCTGCAGCACTGAATCGCTGGGTAAATTGATCTTGCCAAGGTAGCATAAAGAAAAACTATATATGTAGACGTGCGAGCTGTAGAGATAAATTTGTAGGTAACTGAAAAAAAGCTGTCAGTAAGAATTTGTGTGTAAAAAGTAACATAATGTAATGAGTAAGAAAGATAGGCTCTGGGGCTACCGTTTATTAGATGTAACCACCAAATCGGTTACAAATCGGCATTATGTTTTGAGTGAGTCCCTTCACTTCTCTAAGCTTTTGTGTCGTCATTTCTCAGTTGGGAATACCACTCGTAACTTTCCCAGGCTCGTCGTGAGGGTTCAGTGAGAGCCAGGCACTTACTATTTCTCATTGATCATTTTATCATACAATTTACTAAGTGTGTAAGGTATCTAATATTGACATTTAGTATCTCTCTTACTACGGCTACTCTGATAAGTTAACATTATCTCCTTTTACCCAGGAGAAAAATAAGGCATGGAGAGTGGAACTAAGTTATGTCTTCAACTAGTAATTGGTGGAGTTGTAATTTGCACCCTCGTCTGTGCAATTTTGTTTATGCAGCATTCGCTGACGACCGCTTTGCGCCAGGCCCTAGGACGTTTCAGGACTGTGGTCAAAACAAATAGCTTTATTTCATGGTGGTAGTTTTGTACAATAAATATTTGTAGTTGTAAAGATATTTTTGCTCTCTCAAGTATTAGATTGAATTTAAATAGCTTTACTGTTTTTGTCGATGTAGCCAATAGTTCAGAGGGTAAGCCTGTTAGAATGTATTTTATGTTAGTTGAGGTGTAGGAATTTATGTCTGTAGGATTTAGGGTGCTGTTGTATATATTGGGCTCTCCTCTGTCCATATTTTCTCTGTAGTAGAACTCGTACTTTCGTGGTTTTAAAAAGCAGAAAGCATTATGATTCTCAAATTTATAACCCTGTTTCTGACATCTCTACTGAGCTCCGGATTTGTACAATTAATTGTCTGTGTAGCACCTCCAATTGGATACCTGACTGACATCATAAAAACTTAACATCGCTATAACTCTTTTTCTCCAAATTGGTTCTCCCCCTACGGTTAGTAAAGAGCATCACCATTTACCCACGCAGTCAAGAAGCGTGTGAGTAATTTTCGATTCCTGTCATTTTTTTCACGTCCCACATCCAATCTATTAGCAAATCCTATAGGCTCTACCTTGAAAACAAATGTTTTTGAACTACCACGTCTTCATTCCATCTGCAGTCATCTTGGTCTAAGCTACTCTGAAATCTTGCTTGTATCACCTGCCTCCTTCCTTGCCCCTTTCTACCGTCTGTTCTCCTCACAGAGTTAGAATAAACTTTTACACATTACAAAACATATTACATGACTCCTTTGCTTGAAACCTCTAGTGGTTCCCCATGGCTTTCGTCACACGGGCCTCTCTGCCGTTTTAGGGTCTTTGTACTCGTTTCTTTTGCCGGGGATGGCTTTACCCCATGGGTGCCTCTTTCTTACCACTCAGGCCTAAGTTCAAAAGTCATGTCAGAGGCCTTCCTTTTTAGGTTTCTTTAAATTCTGTCCCCATTTACTCAGTTCCTAGCCTGCAGGCTACCGGTGGTACTAATTTCTTCTATATACCTTTCCGGAGAAAGATTTATGTAAGTACATAAAGAATTCCCACCATTTTAAAATGGGTATATCATCATTTCTTTAAGCAGTAGTCCCCTCTAGATGGTCATCCAAGGTTATTTCCAATCTTTGCCATCCCACAATTCTGCAATGAATTACCTTGTAAATATGCCACAGTACACAGTAAGTATATCCGTACTGTGTTTCGGAAATAAGTTTACTGTTTAGTGATGTGAAGGCCATTCAGTAGTTTATGTGTTGTCTAGTAGAAACAAATGACTTGAAAATGATTTCATTAAATTTTAGCTTGAGGCTAGGAAAACATTTGAAAATCAGTCCCAGTAATTTTTTTCTTTTCTCAATTGTGTAGGAGATGTTGGAAGCTCTCAAGGCACTTTCAACCTTTTTTGTTGAAAATAGCCTGCGGACTCGAAGAAATTTACGTGGGGATATTGAACGCAGAAGTTTAGCCATCAATGAAGAATTTGTAAGCATTTTCAAGGAAGTGAAGGAAGTATGTAAACGCTACTCATTAAGCATATATTGAGAATTTACTGTATGCCTGGCTCTGTGCTAAGTAGTTTCGTGAATTAAGTTGGCGTATTTGCTGTTTATGCACCATGTTCAAATAGAAAATTGAAGTACTTATTCCAGAAGCATAGAGGCCTTTCTCTATGTTTTTCTGCACTTACATATATAGTTTTCTTAAAAATGTGAACATGTTATATATTGTTTTATAGCACTTGTTTTTACCTTATATGGACATCTTTCAATGCCAGTAAACATACATACACACACACATATATTCACACACACTATCTATTAATGTATGTACGAATTTAACCTTGTATAGACATCTCTCCATGCCAGTAAATACACACACACACACACACACACACACACACACACTCACACTCACACTCACACTCACACTCACGTACACACATACATGCATGCACGCACAATCAGTGTTGATATAGGCACAGATTTCCATGGTGTGGTTGGAAATGTTTCACGTTTTCCATTTGTTTTAGGCAACTCTGTTGATCATCCTCTTTGTATATTGTTGTACACTTCTCTGATTAACTACTTAGAATAAATTCTTAGTATTAGAATTCCTGAATAAAGAGGTATTAATATTTTTAAAGCATTTGCCGTCTCCTATTGTCACACCCTCTACAAAGAACATACTAGGTTTCTTTTTTTTACATCTTTTCTAACACTACATGTTATTTTTTTTAATCAGTTCGAATCTTAAATATGGAATTTTTTGTCATGTTTTGGCAAAAGAAAATCTTGGGTTGAAAATAAGGATTTGGCTTATTTATAAGAAGAGAAATCTGTTTAACATGTTTTTAATGATGTTACTTTTCTCCTCTTCAGGAACTTGAAAGCATAAATGAAGATGTTCAAACAATGAGCAACTGTTGTCAAGACATGACAAGTCGCCTACAGGTACTGTGTAATGGCTGGATTTTAGTGTAGCTCCTGGTACAAAGTAAGCTTTCAAAAACTGAGGTAGGTCTACAAAGTGTATGGCCATCTACTCCATCCTGCCTTGTAGGAAGTTTGAACATAAATATGCCTTTTTTTTTTTTCAAACTGTAAATGGCTTTGTGTTTCTTTGAGTGATGGTTTACTAATATTGTTAGCTTCAGAAGCCTTTATATTTTGATCTAGCTGGTACAGAGTTAACTGTAAAATTTTAATATACTTTCAATCCCGTAATATCCCATAAGTCCAGCAGAAATGACTTCCTTACTCGAAAGCCTTAGGAGTAAGTTCAGACTGAAGCTATGCCCGATAAAGACTCAGCTTAATTATGATTCATGCTCAGCCTGAAAAACAACTCAGGCAAATATATGTAATTTTACTTAGAGTCTGTTTATTAAAACACTCTAAACCTCTAGTTTGCCTGTAGAGTTAGCATTTAACCTAATCGCCCTCAGTTATATAATTCTGGAATAGTGAATAGAATAGGTTCTTCCTAAGAGTCAGTCATGATTATGTCTACTACCTTCACGGTTTTATTCCAGACTTTTACCTCTGAGGTTCTCAGCTACAATAATTCTAGGAACAATCATTAATCTATGCATATTCCACAAATAATTGTAGGTACTTGTGTGATCTGTCTGCAGAACTAGTCAATTTCCTATTTCTAATATTTTAGCTTTCCTAGTCTTGTCTAAGTTTTTATAGTCTTACTAATATATCAGTATTTATTGGCATGTTTGTTTTTCCAATCTTTAGATCTTTGTCAATTATACAATACTTAAATAATCATGTAAACTTGGCTAATTACTGTTGCCATTTCACACCTTTTTGCACATTACTTTTGTTGCTTAGTAGTTGATTTTGACTATTTTTTTCTTTAACTTTTTCTTTATTTCCTTTTCTCATTTTCAGGTTTCCATGATTTAATGCCTTTTCTCAAACTATACTTTTTAGGTTTTATAGATTATACTCTTGTATTTGTTTTGTAATATTAATTTTATATTTTATGTTAGGTTATGCAGTTTCTTCTGTTCTCAACGTAGTACCTCTTATTTTCTAATTCTTATCATTAACGATACTTTTATCATACCTATTTTTAAGTATAAAAAGTAAAGTAGTTTTACTCTATGCTATTTTCAAAACAGCTTAAAAATACTTTAAATCACAGCGTGTCACCTTCTGTTTTGTCCTTTGGGTTTTCTTTGCACATCCAATCTTCTTTTTCCCTGTAACAGCATAAGCCTCTTTTCTTTCTTTCTCTTTTCATATCAACTTTATTGAGGAATAATTTATATACAATAATAAACTGCATCCATTTGAAGTGTACAAATCAATGCATTTCATAGTTTCATACACCTATGAAACAATCATCATTAATCAAGATATAGAACATTTTCATCACTTGCAAAAGATTTCCTCATAGCTTTTTTTATTGAATATTTTAAAATATACCACCTGTTGTTTACATTCATTATTTTTATTTAAATTTATTGGGGGTAACATTGGTTAATAACATACAAGTTTCAGGTGTACACTCTGTAATACATCATCTGTGTTGCATTGTGTGCTCACTTCTCACAGTGAGATAAGACACGGAAAAGGACAAGACCCATGTGACTTCACTCATCTGAGGGATACATTCATTTTTGACTCTTAGATTACTGGGGATTAGGTCCATGATTTTCAAAGTTTTTGTTCATCCGCTGGTACTAATTTATTTGGATATAGTGTTATTGGAATCTTAATAGTACTCAATTATACTATCAACTCTAGTATTCTGTTTTTAATTCATTCATTCATAAAGAAAGTATTTCTTGGCATCTCCCCCCTCTTTCATTACAGGGTGTTATAAGGACTAATTTCATTAGTAAATATTTTCTAAAATGCTTTGGATTTAGGACATTTTAGAAATTATTGTTATGAGATACATTTAGAAATTTAATCAGTAGCTTTTTGTATGCTATGCTGTTTATCCCTTTGGCTGTGGTTTTACTCTAATAAATTGCATTTAGAGTCACATGTTTATTTAATGAGAAATAATCACCCTTAAGATATAAGATAAATCTACTGGAAATTATTCTAGGATGATAATCTGTACTAGTATTATTAAACATTATTTTGGAATCATTACCACAGTTTATAAAAGAAGAGTCTGGAAATATGCAGAAATTTTTATTGCATAACATTGTACTCAAGTACTGTATTTCAGTGATAGATGGTGTTTGTAAGATTTACCCTCAATTTAATAACGACTGAGGCGAAAAAAAAGCTAGTAAGCATTTTATGATTGATTTTGTGAAGCACTCTTTTTTTCACAAATACTAAAATGTAAATATGTTTTAGAATTGAGGACATACTATATTTTTTTAAAAATTGTAGAAGGCAAGATAAAGGGTGGAGGTGGATTTTTAAAGCAAAATAACATTAGGAAAAATACGCATTTGAAGAAGTTATTGGATTCAAAGAGGGATAATTTTCGAAGAATACCATGGGGGCCAGCTGCATCCCTTAAATATTCGTGATCTGTTGAAGTATCTAACTTCAAATCTGTTTTCTTAAAAGTATCTACTCTTTTCTAAGCAGCTAATTTGGTTGTGAGGAACAGACTCAAAATAGCTTCTCTGGAGATGGGCGGGGCTCTGTTATTGAAGCATGGTGTGCAGCAGGAAGACAGACATTTCAGTGACAATCTGAGAGTTTGTGGGAGGATTAGGCCTCTGAGAACCCAGAACTTGGTGGTCAGGGGGCTTTCTCCATCTAATGCAGCTCTGCAAGCCTTAGCAGCGAAGCTCGGCTCTCTTCTGTAGTGTTCCAGCCTGAAAATGACCCAGTACCTTCCCGTGTTTTCTCTGGTATCCTGTTTAACGCCTGACCCTCCCCTTTCTGTGTTTGGGTCTAATTTCCGCTTACCAGTGGCTTTGTCTGCATACAACTGCGGCGCACTGACGGTCCCCTCAGGGCATGGACCCTGCGTCTCTGTCTGCCTGCCAACCACTTGTTTCTCCGCTCAGTGCTCACTGCCTGACATTCAAGTCTTCCAGAGAGAATCTGATTGACTAACCTTCTCTTTTGTTTCAACCCAATTTATAAATAAATACTTGTCTGCTCTTGGATAGAACATACTTTTTTTTTCAAGTTTTCAGTGCTGACCCTTGCAGTTCTGGCTTGGGGGAGGGATGACTGCTTAGTATGAAACTTGAAACTTGGTCATGAGCAGCCCTGTATCCTTAGATGGGGCATCATCTCTGATCTTCACCAAAACCCTGCGTGAGGGGTCGTTGGTACATCTCAGCTCTTGTTTTTATCTCCATCTTGGGCATTTCTGGTGAGCGCCACAGCATGTCAGTGACTTAACTTGTAGTTCCATTTAGAGGCCTCGTGGTATGTCAGCATGTGCCTAACTGAGGCCATATTCTTCATTCCGAATTGGCTCTGGCAGCCCTTCTGTTTCACAAAAAGCATCATGAACTGTTCAGTTCCTTAGTATCCTGGTACCCCCTTCACTCTTTTAAGCCTTAACATCACGTGTGTATTGAGAACTCGGAGTGAATTCCTCTTGGTAAAGGTAGGGGATGAGCCTTGAAACATCTATTTCAATTATGACTTGGATGTTTAATAAACTTCTGAGTCTGGACTGTGATCTCATTTGCTGTAAGTCTGAACTCCAGTAAGCTGTAGTATTAATTTTCTGAAGTATAATAAAATTGAAATGTACTGATACTAGGTATGTTTATAATTTTAGGCAGCGAAGGAACAGACTCAAGATTTAATAGTAAAAACCACTAAACTTCAAGCTGAAAGGTAAGGTTTTTTTTTTGGTATAGTTACCGCCTCATTAATTTGGAGATTAAATGGGAAGAAAATTATAGACGATGCCAAATCAAAGTTAAAATAATAAAAAACATGGTTCCAAATTGATATAATGTGTAAGGTTCTAAGCTGTTTTCCAAGAGTAAAATAAACATAAAACAATAGTTTAGGAACATTAAATTTCATATTGAGGTTGAGGGATTATCCCTTTTTTTGGGGTGACAATATGTTATATATTGTTTGCTATGGAATTATAAAATGATTGGTTTTTAAAATGTAGGTGTTTTTTAGATTTTTAGTAATTTTTTTTTTACAATCATTGTCTCTTATTTTGTAACTATGATTAATTTTCTCTGGTATAATCAAGAGTTAATTGTGTAAATTCTTGAAGCTTACAAATAAGTATATTATGGGGAAATGTTAAGCTACAGTTCTGTGAACACAGTTCTACATCAAACTTGATCTATTAGAGCATCAGCTGTCACAATGACAGACCTCCTTCAAACCCAGTTGGAAAAACATATTATTTATACATCTGCCTGAGTGAGAATATTTGTTGATGGAATGAATGTGTGAATTAAGGTGCGTACAATATGGATTCATGTATGGTAGTGTGTTCTACAGTCTCGTAATTTACTGTTGGTTTGTCTCTCTTTTCCTACTAAACTGAGCTCCTTGAGGACAATTTCTTATTCTTGTTGTGTCTCTCAATTCCTAACGCATTGTAGATTCAATGAAAAAATTTTGAGTGTGTGCATATGGAATGCAGCTATTCTCATGTCAGCAAAGGAATGCAAAATAAAAACTGAACACTAAGCATTGTGTTGGAGCTTGTAGCATATGTGACTCTGATTAGTGTCTGCAGGAGGCAACATGAGAACATCCTGCTTCTATTCCTGTATCCTCTAACTATTTAAGCAAGGTTATGTTCACTATTCAGTAAGCCTATGAAAGCGTTTTGGCCTGGTTTGCTTTTGGAAAGTGCAAAATGTGTGACAGTCTGGTATCCCAAGGGGTGTAGCTGTGCTGTGCCAAGTGGACATTTGTGTGACTACATCTTAGGAAAATTACATAGCAGATATTATGACAACAGATTCCTGTGAGCTGGCAGAGAGGTTTTTGTTTTTTCCATTTTTAAATAGTATCTTTTTATAAGAAATTTTGTTTAACAAGCAATTAGCTTTAAAAATAGAAATTCTGTGGGCTTATTTGGATAACATAATATCCTCATTCAAACAGATATATAAATGACATGAATATTTTTCCAACTGAGTTTGAAGGAGATCAGTCACTGTGACAGCTAATGCTCTAATAGGTCAAGTTCTGTGTAGAATTGTCTTCATAGAACTGCAGCTTAACATTTCTCCTTAATATTTAGTTGACAGTCAGATGCATTTTTTAGATGATCAGAAAAGGCTGTATCACATGAACATACTTCCGTATTTTTTAATACTATTGAAATCACTACTGATTATACATTTTGTTGCCTCTTGTAAAGGCCCACCAGCCAAATTTCTTCCTGGACTCAGAGAAATAGTCTCTGGTGAATGCTTATGTTTCTTTTAGAGATATAATATGTTCAAGTGGAAAGAATGTAGGCTATGAAGACAAAAGCCTGAATTCTAATTTAAATATTGGGTAAGAGCTCATTAGAATTCTAATTTTGTTGTTTAATTATTTCTTGACCTCCCGCAGCCTCAGTTTCCACATCTGATAAAAGGCAATAATGTCTGTGCCACAGGGTTGATGTGGTGATGAAATGACTCCCGTAGGTGCCGAGCACTGCCTGCCGTGCATCAAGGTGCCCGTCACGCCCCTTCCGTTAGACAAAGGAGGCTGTGCACACAGGGACTCGGGTGACCGGGAGGCTTCGGCTGCTCTGTGCCTAATTGCAGCAGCTTTCCTCAGTGTGCTATTTACTTTCTCATGCTCTCTCTTTATTTCTTACTATTTAGTTAATAGCTTTAAATGTGTTATTTGTTGCAAACTACTCGAATTCATGTTTTCAGTTTGGTTAACACAAAAATATCAAACTGTTGATTTTACACAAATATATGTGTAAAAATATATTACAGAAGCTTATGTATGAAGACTGGGGAGTTTCAGGCAGCTTTTCTTTCTTCTTCTCTCATTTACATGTATAAAATTTGAGGAAGAAAATTAAAATCAGGTGTAATTTCACCGCCCACATGTAGCCATTATTAACATTTTGTGGTATTTCCTCCCAGAGTGAGTATGTGTGTAGTTATATTTTATGTGCATTTTCCTAAGTTTTATTTAGAATAACTATATATTTTAATGATGACATTATATTTTGTCTTGTGAGCAAACCAATATATATTTAAGCATTCTTAAATTATTAAATAATTGTATTCTTTCCATTAGCAAAATTAATGGTTTGATAAATGTTTTTAAGTTATTAAGTACATTTCAGATTGTTTCCTTAGGATATAAGATACAGTCCTAGAATTACAACAAATGAATCAAATGGTAGAAACTTAAAAAAATATATGGTAATGTATATTGTCCAGATTTCTTTCCAAAAAGGTTGTATACTAATTTATACTTCCATCAGCAATATATAAGAATGTCTGTTTTGTTAAACCCCTGTCAGCATTAGGTATTCTCATTAAACACTTTGCCAATTTCATAGATGAAAAATGGTATTATACTTTTAATTTACATTTTATTGCATATTGGTGAATCAACATTTTTTCAGTTTGTTTTGCCCTTTACGTTTCTTCAGTTTTTTTTTTATTATATCTTATGCTCATTTTTTCTGTTAGCCTTTTTCTTATTATTTTGAAATTATTTAGTGAAGTTGAGCCTAGAAGGTAGAGTTAACATATAACAGAGGTATATTTTTAGGGGAAAAAGGCACCACAAGATTCATAAACATGTTTTTGGATGGTTCGAAGGAATCAGTATGAAGATTAAATAATCTGTTTATTTTAAATATTCAGGTACTATATGAATACATGTGAAAATTCATGTATGTGTGTGTATAGTTTTTTTAAAATAAATTTAGATTGCTGTAATAATTTTTCTACATTTTGCTTTTGGTACCTATACAATACTGTATAGATCATTTTGTTAGTACATACAGATATATCTAATATTTTTTATCTGCTGCAGTTAGTCCACAGTATGTATTTACCATGTTTATTTATATATTATATAATATACGATACACAGTGATTACATGAACACATCTCAGATACCCTGGAAGTTATTTATAGTAACCATTTGTATGCTTTATGTTAACGTTTATTTCTTATAATTTTTATTTAGATATTAACACCCCTCCAAAAGCTACCATACTTCACTTGTGATGTAAATGAGGCAAGGTCTGCATCACATGTACCCTTGGTCACACTGGACCCTGGCTTAAGGCTTTTACACATTGTAGGTCCTGCTAATGTCATTCGATTGCACAAATACTCCCAAACCAAACTGTTGGACCATCTGACTGTAACTCTCTGCCAGAATGGTTGTGAAATTTTACCTGGGAAGAATATATATGGTAAAACTATAGAGTAATATGATTTTTAAGATATATTAGAATTTCTTCCGTCACTACTTTAACCGTTGTCATCTTGAGAAACCAAACCCTTGCTTCCACAGTGTGGCCATTGTTAAACATGTCCTTGGACCAAATCTTGCAGATTTAGAGTCTGTGGTTCAAAGGTTTTACTTCATGAGACAAATTTAGATAAAATCAACCATATTAATTGGAATGAATTTTATTGATTAAGGGTTATAATCAAGATAGGTAATACTACATTTGATTAAAACAAAAGGAAAGTATAAACTAGAGAGATTCATTTTCTTTTTTCTTTTTAATTTATTTTTTTTTGGGGGGGGATTGGAGGGAACAGCGTTGAGGAATCGGGGAAGGGGAACAGAAAAGTTGCTGTCCTTTTGTTCTTCAGTCTAGTTGTGGAGGATGTCGCTTCACTGGCCCATGTTGGTATTGTGATCATTGTGTTCTTCCTGGGCGAGGCAGTCGCTTGCTGGCCATTGGACGGCTGCTCACAGTAGCTCACAGCAGCCCACTGCAGCTTCATTGCAGCCTACGTCATTGCCAGCGACTCAGGCAGCCCAGCTCCAGGTCGAGCTGTTGTTCATCATCTTAGCTGTAGAGGGCGCAGCATCACTGGCCCTCATGTGGGAACTGATCCGGGGCCCTGCTGCTCAGAGCTGGTGCTCCCAAGCCAACTCTTAACCAACGAGCCACTCGACCAGCCCTGAGAGATTCATTTTCCTTTGTGCCTGATACTCTAAAGATCCAAAAGAACCTCCAGAAAGTTTTTAGTTGAAATGGTAAATTTGTATAGTCTCAGGAATTTTATGAAGGTTTATAATGACTTTAAATCCTGTATGATTACGATTGGGGCTTTATTCAAGAGTATAAAATAAAACCTGTTAAGGTAGATTTTCATAATTAGTAATAAGATGATTAAGGACATATGCCATTTCTCACATCATTTGAGATGAGCTGAATGGTACTGCCACAAAGAGGACTTTTTCTTCCTAACTTTTATATTATTCACCAGGAGCATTGAACTTTGTGAATTTAAACTTCACAACCCCAGAGTACAAACAACAGAGAGAGAGCGGATGCATCTTACTGTCTGTACAAGTAGTGTTAATATTTATCTTTGTCCACTCTTTTTTGAATATTATTAGATTATACAATATTACTGCCCTGTGAATACTGCCAGTGAAACACTTATAACATGATTTATATATCTTCCAATCTAAGGTCTAGAAGCCAGGAATGCTGAGGTCCTGCTCAGGTGGTTTGTTTGTAACTTGCCTTTAGATGGGGACCCTGCTCAGTCCTTAGGTCCGTGCAGGTTGCATTCCAGACGAGAGCGTTCCTTTTCCTAATTTTCAACTAGTCTAAATAGGTTTATAATTTAAAAGACTTTTTTGTAACCATAGTATGCAGAAAAAGTGGGGAAGGCAAAAGTGCAGAAGTAACTTTATAGATTTATGAGGAATTAGTAAATGCGTTCTTGACTTCTATCTCTAACCTAAAATAATAATAATTAAAAAATAGACCTGAATTTTGGTTGTTGTGTACTTCATGAGAAAACTTCAGAGGCTTAGGATTTTTTTAGTGACTGAGAAGACAACAGTTGAAAATGGGCATATTTCTCTCCTGTAAGTTAACATAATTACAAGGTGAGCTAGTCAAGTACCTGTACGTGGCTGGAACTTGTAATGTAGGGACCGTTTGTGAACCTGCTTTCTTTTTCATGATTAACTCCTCCGACCTGTGCAAGTACCTGAGGTAGAATCATACCAGCTAATTGTATCACCTGCGTGCCTGATGAACTTCCAGTACTAGGGCAGAAAGGAAACTCAGAGGTGTTGAAGTGTTTCACACCTTTATTTTAAGAAGTTATTCTGTGAGAGGTATAATTTGTTTTAAAGGTATGTTAATCCATAATGGTCTTGATTTTTATGGCTTGTTTTTATTATTACAGTCAGAGATTAGAAATAAGAGCCCAAGTGGCTGATGCTTTCTTATCGAAGTTCCAATTGACTTCTGATGAAATGAGTCTTCTCCGAGGTACAAGAGAAGGACCCATTACTGAGGTATCTTGCTTTTATTATAATCATTTAAAGCGTAGCAGTTACAGATGATATAAAGACATTTTTTTAAGGCTTTATTTTTTCCATCTAAAAAAAAGTTTGATTTGAAATTACTCCTCCCTCTCTCCCTCTCTCCCTCTCTCTCCTTCCCCACATTCTCTTTCTTCATACCTGGCAGTGCAGTTATGTGGCATTTTCTGTCTTCATTACATTGACTTTACAATGATTACATGTTCTTTATTTGACAACTTTTATCTTTCCTGGAATTAGAAATTCCTTATCTTTTCATCTAATTAAGTTTTTAACCTGTGCCATTCTTTCCAAACTGACACAGAACTATAAAACCTCTCAAAACGCTAAACAACAGGGAAAGGTTTTATATCTTGCTTTTCCTTGAAAGACATTCAGTTTTTCTGGAAAAGAATCTTGCCTTCTCCTAACTGGGAGGAACTGTAAGCCTCTGCCTGGTGCCATCGCCTAGTGCCATCATTTGGGGGTCTGAGGGCAGGAGGAGGCGTTGATGTGGGCTGGGGGCCTCACTGAGTGCCTTGACCGCTGTCACTGTTGTCCTACTGTCTAGGCTGCAATGGAGCCAGGCACCTGCGTGTAGGGAGTTGAGCAGGTGACAGAGCTGGCAGGGACATGGCACGTTTTTCTTCATGTGGTAATCTTTAGGTTTGCATTTCTCTCTCCCTAAACCACGTGCTTACTAAGGTCTGGGTTTTTTTGTCTATAAGTTTTCTCTCTCTGGCAGCTAGCGCACAATTTGGCAGCTAGTACACGTTGAATTAATATATGTTTTAAAATGTGGAAAATGTTATACTTTATATAAAAATTCAGAGACCGTTGAGATCAGTGGAGGAAGGATTAGAGTAGGTGAAAGAATTTGTTTTTCCTTTGTAGTGATATTGCAATTTAGAGTAACATAGTTTTACCTGAAAACATGGAAATTTTAAAGTTTCATTTTTAATTTTAAAGGATTTTTTCAAGGCATTGAGGAGAGTGAAACAGATTCACAACGACGTCAAAGTTCTCTTGCGCACAAACCAACAAACAGCAGGGTGAGTAGCCTTTTCAGTTCATAATTTCATTGCCTCTTATATTTCCAAATTTAAAAACCATTCTAGATGCTTTTTGAAACTGTCTGACATTTTGTGAAATAGGAGTTTAATCTGTGTGTATCTTTCTGTGGCTGAGGAGGGCGCTAGAGCCTGATGTGTTTAGAGTAAAACAGCAATTGGATCACTAAGTGACAGTATTAAATTTGACAGCTATTTAATTATAAAAAATTGAAAAATCATTCCATAAATAATGATAAAAAGCTAAAATGATGTAATCAAATCATTCCGTAATTAAATGAAATAATTAGGTGCTTAGATGTAGCTGTTGGCTAAAAGTTCAAATTATAATAAATCTTCAAATTTGTTTTTAGTTTAGAAATTATGGAACAGATGGCTTTGCTTCAAGAAACAGCTTATGAAAGACTTTATCGATGGGCTCAGAGTAAGTGATTTCTTTCGCGTGGTCTGGACTCATGCATCAGTGCTCGAGCTAGTTTTTAGTTCACTCGGTCTGAGTTTGATATTGTATTTTGATTTTGGTTATCAAAGTATTTTTAAAAAGGAAAACTTTACATTTGAATATATTGCCTTTGTGTTTGTGTCATGAACATCTACTGTCAGTCAAGCAATATGTTGATTAAGGACGGGAATTAAAAAAAAGTCAGTATTTCTAGATTATTTTAAAGTTGATTAGACATCTCTTGTTAATTATATACCCATATTATAAATGATGAATTAATTTTCTCTTGCTGCTGTAACAAATCGCCGCAAACTTAACAGCTTAATACAACACATTTATTATCTCATTATTATTATTGTAGTGCTGTAGTCGGAACTCAGACGTGATTCTCACCACAGTAAAATTAAAGCATTGGGGGCTGCCTTCATTCCTGGACCCTGAGGAGTAATCTGTTTCCTCTCTGTTCAGTGCGTTGGCATCATTTAGCTCCTGAGTCTGTAGGACTGAGGCCTGAGTTTCCTTGCTGGCTGTTGCTGAGGGCTTCTCCCCATTTCTCGAGGCTGCTTGCAGCCTTCGGCTTGTGGCCTCTTCATCCACCTTTAAAGCCTGCAGTGGAGGATCGAGTCAGTCTCTCACTTTCAGTCTCTCCTGCCTGAATCTGATTGTTCTGCCAGCCTCTTCCACTTCTAAGTTGTATGTGACTACCTCGGGCCCACTTAGGTGATCTGGGAAAATCGCCCTGTTTCAGGGTCTGCCACCTGAATTCCCTATGCAGAGTATCTTTACCGTGTAAGGTAACCTATCCCCAAGCTCCAGCAATTAGGGAATCTTTGGGGGCCATTATTTTGCCACCAGAAATGGTTTATTTGTTTTAAAATGTTTCAGTAGGCTCACAAAACTGCCAGCTAAACCCGAGGAAGATAGTTAAGGCAGCAGGAATGGAGCAGGTGCACAGATGTTCTCCTAAGTGCTGCCAGCGGACTGTTGGAGGGAGCTGGGATTAAGTTCAGTGCACTTACCAGTAACACATACACTCCTGCACTCTGGGAAACCTGTTTATCTGGCTCAGGGGGTGGTTCTTTATGTCCTAAGCATGTTTCTTTCCCTGCTGCTCTCGTTGGCTGTTTACTCCTCTTTGGAGCGCTGTCTGGCTTTCTCACTTTATGTCCAAGTCCCACCTCAGTCTCCAAAGCCAAACGTAGGTCCTGCATGTTCTGGAATTCTCCATGGCGACATTCAGTCACAGCGACTTTCCCCCGTGTCAGAACACTATCCGTGCGGCGTATTTATTGGGCATCCAGTAATGCACTACTCTGTTATACTTTTCGTATGTCTGTCTTTGCTCTCCAGTTAGATTTCTCTCTCGAAGTGAGGACATGGCCCCAGATTTCTTTGTGCTCCCATGACATCTAACATAGTGGTTCCGAACTGTGGGCGGCTGACTCTTAGGGACTCCAGTTTCCAGTTTGACGCACGCACGTGCTTTTCTCAGCGCACGCAGAAACTGTGCTGATGTGAGTCCTCATCCACCGAGAGGGTGGGGATTTCCGAACACGCCCGAAGCTCTTTGCACATAGTGGACACTAAATAAGTATTTTATGGATAAGATTAGAATAGTAAAATAAAGAAACTTTGGTGTAGAGATTTTTAAAAGTTTAAAATCTATAGTTTTAAAATTATAATCTTATTACCACATATAAGTTACCCATATAAAGATTTTAAGTAAACTGCTTAGCGATGGCTAAGGGGAGGGACAGTATAATAATATGCTTTAATTCCCTTCCTCACCTTGAACACTGCTATGTGTATAGCAGTTAGTGAGTGAATATCTGTCCATTGATTGGTTCTTTTAGAAATGTAGTGGGATTTTTTTTGTTTTTTTTTTATAATAATGAAATACAGGTTTGGGGTGTACTAGACAGCATATGTGGTCATTTCAAGTAATATAAACACTTAAACTTAAATTTTTAGTTTGGTTGACTGCATAGACTAGTTTCTGATTGGCATATTCTCTAGGTTTTTCCAAGCATTGTTTTCATGGATGTTTGCTATTGAATTTGGACTGTGGATCTACACTGGACATAATAAAAACCTAATTTTAATTTAACAAGGCTCATGATGTTAATTATTTTTCAGGTGAATGCAGAGCGTTGACACAAGAATCGTGTGACATATCTCCAGTGCTGACTCGGGCGGTGGAAGCCCTGCAGGACAGACCTGTCCTATACAAGTTGGTGACTTTTTCCTAATTAAAAAAACAAAACCAAAAAAACCTACTTTTTCTTCCATCATTTATATTAACTTTCATTATTATCAAATTCATATGCAGTAGTTTGATGTTTACAACTTATGGTGATACTTTTGTCTCGTGTGTATCAATGCCAGCATCCATTACTTGCATATTAAATGCTATAGAATGCAGTATTGAGGCAACCAAGGTCTCCTGCAGCTAGACTGCCGCTTACACTTACGTGGAGGGAAGGGGCTTTTCCCCAATCTGTCCTCTCACTACCTACCTCGGAATTGTAAGTAAAACTCCTTGTAGCAACCCTACCCTGGAGAGCAGGAGGTGAAAGAGAGGACTGAGAAATATAATTACCCCGAAATGAAAAATGAAAAATTTAAATCAGGATTCCATGAATAGGATTCAAGAAAAGGAAGGGGCCAGGTCTTCGATCTGGTAAGTTATGCCAGCCAAGAGATAGATACGTGGTACTGTTTTGATAAGAACCTACGCATTATTAACTTGTTTGCATATTTTTATTATTCTGCATTTTATTTTTATTATTTTAGTTCTCATATAAAATAGAAGGGAATACTTTTTCTGTTTTTAATGCCTGGAATGGTATGAGAATACGGAGACCAGGTGGGGAGTGATATTCGGGAAACAGGAGAGCAGCGTCTTTCACCTAGTCCCTGAGTCCTGCTCTGAGCCGTGCCTTCGGAGGCTAGGAGTATTGTCAGGGAATTCCCCGTGACTCTGCTTTCTGATTGGAACATTACGTAGCCTGAAATTAGGTTTTAGAACACACATGCTGGGACAGCTGTGTAAAAATAACTTCTAGTGCTACTTACCGAGTACCTGCTGAGTGTTAAGCAGAGTCCTAAGCACTAGAGATGCAAGATTGATAAGACACTGCCCTCAACTTGCTTTATTTTATGGAACCGGATACAAACACATCCATTTTAACGAGCATATGAGCTGCTCTTCTAGAGGTCGTGGCTCGTGGTCTGTGGTAGGGCCGCAGGATGAACCCTGGGAAAGCTTCCTCTGGGAAGTAGGTAAAGTGCATTCTGAAGGCTGTGCAGGCGTTTTCCAGGAACAGAGGGAGGAGAGAACATTCCAGGCCCAGGGACCAGCAGCTGCAAAGATGTGGATTGAGAAAGGACATGCACCTTTGAGCAGTTGATTACCAAAGCTAGCACCGGCCACCAGATGGCACTCTGTGAGCTTTAGTCCGAAAGTAACATGTGACAGCTCTGCTATACATGGTGTCTCAGATGTGTGCGCACCGTGCTCAAGAAAAATGTCAGCTACTGAAGTCTTTGGGGAAACTTGCCAAAGTCAGTTTTTGTTAGATGGTGTATAGCTGGCATGCTACTGCGTTATTAACTTTTGATAAATCAAGTATAGAAATTTCTTCAAAAAGAAATTTATTATAAGTGGAAGTGAAAATTTGATGTTGTCTTCTTTTCTTTGATAAACCTTCAGAATATAAATTATTAAAGAATGTAGTCATACATACAATAATGATTTTTCTTCGTTCTTCATGTATTTGTTGCATTTCTTCTGTTTTTAAACAAAATTCTGCATTTGTGTAAAACTTGATAAAAACAGTATTTCACACTGTACAGTCACCGGAAGTACACAGTTACAACAATGTGCACCCTTTGCTTGGCGTCTCCAGCACCTGCAGCTCTGTGCCTGGTCTGTTTGCCCGCTCCCCCGCCCCCCGTTTTCTGCAGGGCGAGCCCATCCTTGCCAGCACCAGCCGCCCGCTTCCTCCTGGTGCCTTCTCTCCCTGCTCTGCAGGTCCTGTTGGGCTTGGCTCTGGCTTGGCGGGAGCAGGGTGACCAGATGACCTTGTGATCATCTCTGTGGTTCGTCCTTCATCCCATCTTTGTCTCCTTTAGCGTCTTACCTTAGAAATTGCGTGAATAGTCTGATACCACTGGGAAGAAAACAAGTGTCTGTCACATGACTTGTCCTTCCAGGTACACCTTAGATGAATTTGGAACAGCCAGAAGAAGCACAGTTGTTCGTGGATTCATTGATGCTCTTACCAGAGGAGGCCCAGGAGGTACACCTAGACCCATCGAAATGCACTCCCATGACCCTCTGAGGTACAGTGATTGGACAGTATTGGAGCATTTGGTGCTTTCCTGAAGGAAATCTTTACTAACATACAGTTGTTCCGTCAGATACGTGGGAGATATGTTGGCTTGGCTCCATCAAGCTACTGCCTCGGAAAAGGAACACCTCGAAGCTCTCCTGAAGCATGTGACCACACCAGGTGGGTCCTTGTGCTACTGCTGGGGCCTAACAGGAGGAGGTCGCACAGGGCTTCTCTGGCGCTGTCTTCTTCACGCCTCCACGGTACAGTGCGCACCCGAGTTCTTCCTCTGAGCTTCCCCCTTGGCTGCCGATCCCGTTCTTCTCCATCACTGTCATCCTGTCACACGACTGTTCACGCTTTGATAGTGGAACCTTATGACCTTCCACGTCAAGCCTGGCTGCCTCTGCTTAACTTTTCAGGCGTTTCTGGCGTGCCTTAGTGGGTGCTGTCTCAGGTCCCCCATGCCACAGCTCTGTAAGGGCACAAGGCGGGGCTGCCTTCATTTTGTCGAGAGGAAACACGCCGAGTGACTGGCTTATGGTCATTAAACCACTCATTCTCTCATTGCTACTCCGCAGCCCCTTTTCTCATTCTCGTGTGGCTGCTTTAAAGTTTTTAAAATAATTACCTATGTATTGAATGCACTTAAATATTTGATCTTGCTTTCAAGAAAGAAAAATGGCTATTTTTGAGTCGCTGAAGTCTTTTGTCCCAGAATTTTAAATCTTCTTTGTGGTGACTGCCTTAAGATGAGATTTGTAGAATGGGTTAATGGGTAATTAAAATGCTCTGGTTTTGATAGGAAGTGAAGTGAATTATTGTGACTGGTGTCACTTCTGTTTTGCACAGTGTGGCCCCCTGTCATCCTGGTTTATTTAGCACGTGATCTGCAGGAGAGGCGAGGGTACAAATGGGTGGCCAGACTAACCCTCCTCATTTTTAACTCTTTGATACTGAGATTATACCAACGTATATGTTAGATTGGCACAAAGTCTGCACTTTTTAAAAGTTGTTTTCTGTTACCCTAATTACCAAGTTTAAGAGAATGTATTTCTTAAAAGATGTTTTAGTAAAGTTTATATGAGAGGCAGCGTAACAGGTGGGAAGAAAATAGATTGGAGATAAATGAAATAGGTTATTCTGTGGGAATGGTTTAATTCTTCTAAGCCTCGGTTTCACTGTCTATACAATGAAGGTGATTATAAATGCAGTCCCCAGTACAGAGCTTGACAAATACTCGATATTTAGTAAATGTCTGTTTTCCATTAGATTGTGAGGTGTGGTTTCCATCTTTATACCCTCAGCTTATGTCAGTGTCACTTCCTAGAGTAAGATGTTAGTAGCACACATGCTAATACATCTTCACATCCTTCAGTCAATATATTTTATAGTCTTTTTTTCCCTGTGACTCGTATTTACACTTTTTCACCAAGAAGTAATGTTCACTTTATTAATCCACAGTCAAATGAATTAACAGGGCTCTAGACTCAGATATTAACATAATTAGCAATGCCCTAGAAGATATTGAACTTAATAAAATGTTATTAAGGTTATTTTATTGTTCGCTGTTAGAGCCATCAATCACATGTATTATTATTGTTTGTTAATTTTGTGAACGTATGTGAAGCAAAGTGTAATATGGGAAAAAATTTTCAGTTATGTTATAACTAATTGTAGGTGTTGAAGAAAATATTCAAGAAGTTGTTGGGCATATCACTGAGGGTGTGTGCAGGCCACTAAAGGTAAAACACTTTGTTTTTATATATGTTATATGGTACCTGGTTAAATTACTCCTTATTCTTAGGAATTTAAACACACAGATACCAGCTTGAATTAAAGCTGTAAGTTTTGTCAAATTAACACATTAATGTTCCTACAGGATAATAAGATACATTTTTAAATAATCATTATCAATTTCCTCTCTAAGAAAGAAAATTGGAAATATTCTCAGTTTGCATATATTGACTTATTTTTTTACCTATTTTGTTTCCCACAGTAATTTGTTAATCAGTTGAGAAAAAGTCTATTAAATTGAAATAACTAATCTATGAACCCTTAACAGAGATTTACTGAGAAAATATTTCATTTACTTTGTTGCTTTCAGTATAGTAAGTTTTTATTATAACAATAAGTAATGATGATCCAAGGATAAAATAATAATGTATATGTGTTATCAATACTATTTGTAGTACAGGGAATAGAATTTCAAGTCAAACTTGTGTGAGAATTCCCACTTTGCCACTTACTTGTGTTCACGTGTTCACATGGCCTAACTTCTGCACGTTGCTTTGCTCACGCTGACCACCAAGGGCTGTCGGGATTAACTGAGGAAACTGTAGCTGAAGCACGTAGTTCCTGGCGTCTGCTGGCCGTGCCACACGGCAACTTGTCTCTATTGATATTCCCAGAATGCTCTGCAGTTGTTGGTTTACTTTTCCTTATCGACTGATTTCACTGTACTACATAGAAATTGAAATCCAGAAGTTTTGCGATTTATTCTTACCAAGAACTAAATTTTAAAACTAGTTTTTTGTTTGTTTCTAAGATTTTTTTTAGTATTTTGTCCCAGGCAAGGAAATCTCAGATGACACACCTTGTGACAGTTTTAGTTATTACGATTGTAAATATTATTATTACCACTTACATATTTAATTATTACTATAACTTAATCATCTTAGGGCTCATTTGCATATTCTGTAAAAAATAGCAAAGTATTTTGAAATTATTTTACTTATTTCTCCCAAATGAAAAATTTACTTGCCATAGTTTGGTTTTCAGACATTTATACTCATATAAATGTTCTTTGTTTTGTGGTCTAGCAGTTATTGGAAAGATAAAAGAAAAAAGGGAGAATAAAAATAAGTTTCTTTTTCTATATTTTTCATACATTTTGATAAGTACATATAATTAAATGAAACTCTTATTCATTTTGGTGAATAAATTATATGTTTTCTGCCTTACCTTTTTTCTCCCCTCTATTTATGGTATTATGTTCCTTATTATAGCTTTTCTTTTTAAGTAAATTGTATAAAATATAATTCTAGAATCCTAGGGTTGGAATGGGCCTTAGATTTTCCTGTCCTGGTTTGAGTAAGAAATGTTATGTTAAAAATGTTTAAAATAACATTCACTGGTTTTATAAAGAAATTATATGCTGGGGGCCGGCTGAGTGGCACAGTTGGTTAAGAGCTCGCTCAAAGGTTTGAGCTCTGAGCAACAGCGGTTCTAGTCTGGCCTGAGCTGAGCAGCCGCTGAGCTGCCAACAGGTGGCAGGATGGCTCAGCTATAAATAGATAGATAGATAGATAGATAGATAGATAGATAGATAGATAGATAGATAAAGTAAGTAAGTAAATAAAGTAAGTAAATAAAGTAAGTAAGTAAGTAAGTAAGTAAAGAAATTATATGCTGAAGTCTGCCATTGTTTTAAAATGTACTTAGACATTCTCGTTTCATTTCCTTTAAGTTTACATGCCCAGAAAGGTGTTTTTAAGAATTGTGGGCCATTATTGTGACCCCCTGGGAAGTTATAATGTAAGGTATCAAAAGGTGAAAGAGAAACCTCTTCTAAGTAAGCAAGCAAAGATCTTTTTATTGTAAAATGAACAAAAAGCTGTTTAGTTTCTGAAGCGACAGAAACCTTAAACCTTTCCATATGATAAACATTCATTTCATATCCCAGAGAATATTTAACAGGCATTTACAGTAGTTACACATCAGCTTAGCGCAGCAGTGATGACTTATCTCATCCAACAACTCCTCCCGTCCTATAAGGACTAATAGACCATGTTAAATCATTTTAGGAATTTTCTTGCTATGTTACCTCATTTGGCTAACTAGTATTCTCAGTGACATAGTTGTTAGCTGAGGAAAAAAAGCTTTAATATTTTATGTTGCAATTATAATTTGGAATATTTTTCATAGTGATCCATCGCTTTTACATACCATTAATATAAATTTTTTCCTTCCTGATTGATAAGCAGCTAAACTTTCATAATGGCATGAGATATTGGATGTTTTGGCTAAGTTTCTGTTTCTAGGTCTTTTTACTTTGTAGGATTTAATTTTTTTAGGGCAGCGGAGATTTTGATTGTTAGAAGCATAAAGAAAAGGTGGTAATGCTAGTGGGAGATAGCTTTGTAAAGCTGTGCGTTTGTTTACCTCTGTATTTAACCTTTTCTTTGGGTTAATAAAGTGAAACTTCATAGGCAGTGGACTACATATTTGTAAATGTATGCATTAAGGTGTGATCTCTCAAGTCATTTCTAGTTTTAAAAGTCATTGCTCTAATTTAAAATTACATATAAATAAAATCAAATATATCGCAGGAGGGTCGTCAGCATCAATCCTATGAATTTACAGGTACCTTTACCCCAAGATTGTAGCTAAAAACATCAGAATTGATATAATGAATCTTTGTTTTTCACGTCCATAGATCAAACGATCCTTCTTTTATGTGAATGTTCTAGATAGGTGAGATATCACCTGCCGGTATTTGAATTTTCTCTCTTTTAATAAGAACTTCAGTGTGTTATGTGCTCCTGACCTCCTTAAATCATGGTGGGTTCTTTGAAAATAGGTGTATAATTTACACAAAGATAGGTGGCCTGGAAAGTGCGTAGAGCTGAGTGCCTCATTGCGTGGTGCAGTCGGTGCCCTCAGGGTGCTGTTGTGTTCTTGGGGACAGATGTCACTCCTGAGCAGCCTTCTGTGATGGACGCTAAAGGAGGGTTGTCACTATCCCTTTCGGCCCTCCCTTCTCTCCTTGTCCCCATCCCCATACCTCGTCCTCGTGCCGGCTCACCCTTGCCTTTGGTCAAGCTTGCTCTCCCTGGCGTTGGGCTGGAGAGCCGCTGTTGTCTTTTATCTGTTCCCGAGATTCTTGTCAGATAGATACCTGCTGCCCATTTCGCTATTTTGCATTTCTGACTTTATCATCTGAGCCACTTGGAGCACAGTCACGATGTATTGAGTGGTCATTGGGTGCTCGGACTGTCCCAGGCACTGCATGTCTCGGCCGCCCTCGCATCACACCTCCTAAGCTCTGCTAGTGACTTTTCTCCGCTGCAGTCAGCGGTGTGACTCCCAGTCAGTCGCTGCTGCCAGCACTTCCTTAGTCCCTTTTACCCCTTTTACTTATTTTGTTTCTGTTCTCTCCTGTTGTTTTTCCTGTAACTATTGGCTTTTTCTGAAAATGGTTGGCCCCTTATGTAACCTTCATTAGACAGAGTGTGGCAAACCCGCCCGTCGTGGTATATCATACATAAATCTCCCGACATTTCACCCTTTTCCTGTTGTTTTCATTGAAGCTGAAAGAAGGCCGCTTTTCCTCAAAGCCTTTGTGTGTGTGACAGGAAGTAAAGTTGTTTTTCTTTTCCTCCTCCTCCCTCCCTTCCCCTTCTTTCCTTCTGCCCCTCCTCCCTTCTCCCACTTTCTTTCTCAAGGGAGTTGGAATGAAGAGGGTTTTTTTGATGCTTGAAAATTCTGGAAGGTATGTTGCCAGGTAGCTGAGATGGTGTTACAAATCTGCTTACAAGTAATATCCTTTATATTCGGCCCTAATAATGACATTACAGTTCAGAAAACATCACTTTTTAAAATATAATATTTAAGTCCCTATCGAGGCCTTGGATTTAGAAAGAAAGTATAATATGAAAATTATGGTTATTAAATTCAAATGTCCTCTGTGATCCATAATATTGTGATAGTTGGCTGGACGAATACCTTATGCCAACAGATACATCAGTTTCACAAACTTATTAAAAACTTATTAATGTAAAGGTCCATTTCTATAATCTAAGAGACTTTTGGATGCTCATACTCATACATTTATAAAATTGTATTTTAGCAAATCACATTTGTTGGCATTATGACATATTGCAAAATCAAAGTACAGAGAGATCTCAACTTTCAAAAGTGTTTATTTAGCATCTGTTGTACATGTATGTTCTGCCAGGTGCTGCAGAGATGTAAAAGCAGAAAACATGTCTGTGTTTAGAATCTAGTTAGGGAGTAAGACACAGCGTAAGCAGCAGCGTCAGAGCACGTACGATACGTAAATGAGCACAGATCAGTGTGGTTTAGATCCTACTTATTAATTAGGGAATATAAAGGAAAAGATCAGTGAGGGATCGAATTTAATTAGAAAAGATTCCTAGTCGTTAATCTTGAGACAGATCAAGTTAATTTTGAACTTGATCTGATAATGCCCTGGTAGTTTATAATTAGACAAATATGTTGGTACTAATTTAAGATTTGTCTGTTTTCCTATTGTCTAATAATAAAAAACTGGTATAATAGTTTAAAGATAAGAATTCTTTCATTTTTTTGAATATTTGGTGAGAGAGCAGTACATTTTCACTGAGAATCAGTTTTAGGGATGTACCGTAACAACTGCTTTGCAGTGCAATGCTGAATTAAATTCATTCTATAGGGGTGGAAAACCTCAAAATAATTTCATCATTGTATTGATTACTTCTGGTCACAACTGCCGTAAGCCAGTTCTGTAGGTAACGGATCATTTTTTTGGAGAGTATATCTGTGTTAAAATGTTCCTGTTATTTTATCACTCCTATGATTTAATATTCAGAAATTATTTAGAAGGAATTTTGTGATTTCTGCAATAGTAACATTTTATCGTGTTTAATGCTATTTGCAACACATGATTAATGAAGAGAAGTTATACTTTTAAGAAATGTTTAATATTTTTCTCACATTTTTAATAGGTTCGAATTGAACAAGTCATAGTTGCTGAACCTGGGGCAGTTTTATTATATAAAATTTCTAACCTCCTTAAATTTTACCATCATACAATCAGGTAAGTGGAATGGTTAAACGTGCTTGTTAAATCCTGTGTGATTCTTCATTCCAGTTAGAACTCAGTGTAAGACGTTTTGTTGTCATTGTTTGCATGACTAAGTGTAACTGGTAGACCCCCCCACATGAATAAAAGAACCATGTGAAATCATTGTATGCTTATTATATGTGCTGTTCTTTGAGTCCATCCCTTCCTTTTGCCTTTCTTCTCCAAACACAGCTATTCAAAATGCACACGTATGTACACACACAACTTTTATAACAGGAGTCTATAATGTAATAGTAACGCATTAGTTAAAGAGATCCTTGGCACCTAAAGCAGCTGTTATATTACATTGAGAATAGGGCATAGTAAATGAAATGTCCTATCCTGGATGTAAGTAACATCAATTCTTTAGCATTTAGTTTTCTGTTAGTGACAAAATAGAACCACAGCTTTATCTGGTCTAAATAAAAGCTACTTTATCTGGTTAGGAACCACTTGTCTTATTTAAAATACAATTTTTGACTCTAAAATTTGCATTCATTTTTACTTTGCATGTATCTGTTGACGGTAACACTTGAGCTTTATTATAAATGTCACCATAAGACGATGTAATATGTGTAGTTGTGTTAAAATAATGTCCTTTCAAGCTTTATTTTTTATGGTTTCCATATTAATCCATTAAAAATGACTTAAAAATTATTAATACTTAGTATTCAGCATGACGATATCAGGAACAGAAGGCCAATTGTTAAAATCCAACAGAATTATCATAACTAACAGACCCAGGACAGGCGCAGGGATCACTGGTTTGCAAAGCACAAGAGACCACGGCAGTGGTGTCATGTACCTCCTCGCAGCTGAGAATAAGCACCCAAACTTCACAGCGAAGAGATGGGTTCCATATCCTGTCGGTAGATTTTCAAACAAAACTAATAAGCCACAAAACTGATCAGAGACAGGACTTGGCTTAGCCCTCTAAAATTTTAAATATAAATTTATTACCACTTGCCACAACTCAAGAGCAGTAAATTAGTTCCAATTGTAATGGTATAGACTTCCTAAACTGAAGAGAATGATACGTACTTAGAAAACAACAGCTGAAAGCAGCTAACGCATAGCTAATGCTATATTACGCAGCAATGGAGGTGAAATGTTTAACTATCTCTTCAGTGATGCCATGATGGTGCTGCATGGAATTTGTTAGTTGAACATAATGACAACTCAGTTTCTAATGTGGAGAATGCTAAGAGTAAAATCATTTGGATTCTGAACATGATAGTAGGTTTTTTAAGCTCTGAGAATTATACTTTTTCTGTCTTTGAAGATGATAATTTCAAGGATGATAAAATTGGATCATTTGATACATTTTTGCATGTACTTTTTCACACATTTGCTCATTTAGTCAATTAAAAAGTTGACTATACATGTCACCCTTCTAGGTGCTAAGGAAACGGCAGTGAACAGGACAGAGCTTAAACTTACACTGTAATGACGGAGACAAACAAGTGTAAAGTCATTTTAGATGGTGTGATAAGGGCACTGAGGAAAAAGAAAGCAGGAGCAAGGCAGTAGGAAGTACAGACGGAGCCCCTACAGGTGCATGTGTGCTGCTGTCTTTGGAGGCCCCTTTGGTGGAGGTGATGTTTAAACAGAGACCTGAAGAATGTGAAGGCGTTGGGATTGAAAGGTCTTGGAGAAGAGTGTCCTGTGTAGGGTAGACTCTGGCCCTGAGGCTGCGAAAAGCTTGTGTTACAGAGGACCAGGAGGAAGGCCAGCGGCTGGGGCGGGGTGGATTAAAAACAGTAGGAGGTGAAGTCACAGGTAGGCAAGGCTGATCCTGTAGGCCTTCGTCATGGCGACAGAGGTCATGGTGCGCGTGTAGATTTTCCACTGAGTGGGCTGGGGAAGATGGGGGAGGGATTTGAGTGGCCTGAGCTGATGGATGATGAAGGTGGATGATGTAATGTATGGGGCAGAAGCGGGACAAGGAAGGCCTTTAGGAAGCAGTTCGTGGTTCTGAACAGAGATGACACGTGAGACCAGGGTGACAGTATTGGAGGTGGTGGAAAGTAGTTGGCTCTGGAGATGATATGTTTTACAGCCACTAGGACTTACATATGGACAATATGGGGTAAGGTGAGGAATCAAGGATGAACCCTTGGCTCTTGGTGTGAACAAGCGGTTGAACCGTATTGTCGTTTGCTGAGATGGGGAATGCTGGGGAGGTACAGGTTGATGGGAGGGGGTGTGTCATGAAGAATTCCACGTGGGCCATGTTAGAGTTGATGTACCTATGAACGTACAGGAGATGCTGGCTGAGCAGATCATACAGAGAAATCAAGGCTAGAACTATACATTTGGTGGTTTGCAGATCTAGTTGAGAGTTGAAGCCGTGAGGACTAGTAAGATCACTTAGGAGCTGAGTGTAGGAAGAACAGGGTAGGACTGAGTCCTCGGAAGCTCCGGTATTCTTCTCAACCAAGACAAGAAGACAGCCACAGATAAAACTGGAAATTGGCAAAAAAATAAAACAAAAGGAAAAAATAGGACCTATGCAAGTTCTCAGAAAAGTGTGCCTCCTGTAGGTTACAGCTGCTGGAGGACGAATTCCATCAAAACGCCACAGTAAACCCCAAAGAGGAGATGTGGGACCCGGCACACTGTGATCACTCTCCTTTCCTGGAGAACCTGTCTTTCTGTAGTTAGTTGCTGCCTGGTTCTGTCCTGGCTTCCTTTTCTATGCCCTTTTCACTGTTCCAGGTCCACACGTTAAGTGGACTGCACTTTCTCAGCGTGTGGTCAAGCACATCAAGCGATACCTCCCTCCCGTCCCTCTGGGTGGCCTCGTGCTTGTCCCAGCTAGACTGCTCGCCCTCTAGGCCTGCTGTGTGACGGTCACCCTGGGGCTCGTCCTCTTCACAAGCCTGCTCCTTCCCTTGTGACGGGGTCCTTCCTTTCTTGGTCGGCTCTGAATAGGATTTCTGTGCTTGTAATAATGTAAACGTTGAATATTTATGTACCTGAACCCTGTGATATAACTGTATTAGGAAGGCTGGGGAAGATGAAGATGAAATACTATATATAGTATTAGTTTTTGTTCTTATTAAATACCATATGTAGTATATCAGTTCCCAGTAAATTTGCTGTATTTTTTGCTTACTATCTACCGTTACTTATTAATACCATTATACTTATATTTAGCAATCTAAAAAAATTTCTAGGTATAGTAAGTAAGATGTTATTGTGTCTTTAGAAATTATGATTTCCTACTGGATTACAATGTATTTTTGCATCGACAAATGCCTTTCCCCCTAAAAACACTTTAAAATCACTTTCAGTACGTGAATTAGGAAATAAAATTAGGAATTGTTTTGTATACATGCTTGTCTTACATCCTGGCAAAAATGGGAAACCCCATTGGTTGGATGTAAGAAATATCCTTGTAATAGTGTATTGAGAATTACAGAATGTGCTAATAATTATTTCAATATATTATCAGATTTTTTGTAATTCGTGTAAATATACTGCTATTTAGGCAGCTGTATAATAATTGGGAAACTTTATAACTTACAGGTGTGTTATTGATATTGTATAACAGTTTTTTTAATTAAAAGAATAACTCAGTATTAATAAATTTTAAATGTTTTATCAATAGAGCTATTGATGAAATGGATTCCTTAAAATTAGATCTTGGATAAACAAGACATACATTTGTTTGTAATAGAGGAAAAATATAAATATGGGCTTGCATATTATGAGTGTTCTAACATATGTTTTTCTAAAAGATTGTGAAGTGTTAAAAACAATTTTTTTTCCAGTTGTTCATTACCTAACTCAAAAGGAAAAAAAAAACCCCGTCATTTTTATATGAAACTGGAGTAATTGTTTTTAATTCACAGGTTATATTCTACATGAAAATTTTTATTTAAAGCTTAATCTTTCTAAAGAATTGTACTCAGTTAAAGAATTGAATTATTTTAGCCTGTTCTGCAACCTGAAATATTCTTTTTTTTAGTGGCATTGTTGGAAATAGTGCAACTACGTTGCTGACTACCATTGAAGAAATGCATCTGCTAAGCAAAAAAATATTCTTCAGTAGCCTGAGTCTTCATGCAAGTAAATTAATGGACAAGGTATGTTTGAAAAATGCAACTCTTAAACTGTGTGAATGTGTATCTTTCATGTTTACAAATGGTGTGCTGTTTTTCCGCTGGTGGCGATTTTTCCCGCTCTATACAGTGTTCTTTTGGGTTCTTCCTATAAACAGCAAAATTCATTTGGTGCTTACTGGATCTAGGGCTGTGTTCTTGGAACAGTGTAACAGTGGATCAAACCCTAGTTTCACTTTCATTTTTCTATGACCAAAAATTTGTAACTGAATCAGATTTACTATGTTTGGGTCAGGGCTAAAATGACATACAGATTAGAAAACTGGAACTCTTACTAAATGCTTTTGTAAACAGTTGACTTATATTTCTACTCTCTGATGGTCCAGCTTGTCTTATGAAATTTATGCACCTATGAGTTGAATACTACAAATATGAAAAAAAATAAGATAACAAATCCCTGCCCCTCCCCCACATAAAACCAAATAAATAAGAAGCAACAACAAAAACCTAAAGGAGTCCTGTGAGAGCTAATATTTTAAATTAAGCAGTGAATTGTGGCAGGACTGAAAGGAATGGGTTTCCAATGATCACATCCTTCTTTATTTTTGTTTGATTATTAAGGATTCAAGTTTTTAAAGGATGCATCATGATCACCATGCTAACTTTTTAAAATCATACCATTGTATCTAACAGCCTCGCTATATTAGGCACAGGTTTTGTAATCTATTGAGAACAGTCAGTAGCTGTCCCATCTGGAGTACTTGGTCAGTTCTTACATTCCTAAACTCAGATGCCTTCACAGGAGTTTCCTTTCTGACCCCCGGTGAAGGGCAGGGCAGGGCAGGGCAGTGTTATACTATTTCTGTGACATGTGTCGCCCATGGACCAGTCTCCAGAAAATCGCCGGGGTCCTTGTTGAAAAATGGATTCCTAGACCACAAACCTGTGCATATCCAGAACTTTGAGATTTGGACCTGAGGGTGGGTGATGATTCTCAGTAATATTATAGCTGGGGAAGTGCTGGTCTCTGGATGCTTTTTTCTTATGACTTGGGCTGAAAAACAAAACAGTAGGCCATTTCAAATCCATAGGAAAATATAATTCTACAATTCAGAGACCACTAAGTTTCCTTACAATGTTTTGAATTTTAGAAGTACAAATTCTTCTAATTGTAATGTATTAATTCTGAGATAACCTAACAAAAAACTCTTGTGTCACTTTCTGTGCTGATTAATATAAAATAAGCTATTGTTAAATTATTGATTTTCCTAATGTGTCTGCCAATGCTTTGCATCTTTTGTATGTATTATTTTATGGTGACCTGGCATTTATGTATACGTTAAAATTTAGTGGCAAAATAATAAACAGTGTCTGATAAACCATACTCTATTTTAGGTTGAACTACCCCCACCTGATCTCGGACCGAGCTCTGCATTGAATCAGACACTCATGTTGTTGCGTGAAGTTTTGGCGTCTCACGATTCTTCGGTCGTGCCGTTAGATGCCCGTCAGGCTGATTTTGTGCAGGTTTGTTGGAAGTTTATTTTTAACGGTTGCTTATTGCTCTTCTGTTGTCCATCCTGTTGACATTCTGACATTTTATGACCCATGTGTTCTGACAATCCCTCTCTTTGACTTTTCCTTCAAGTATTAAACTACGTCTCTTTAAAAAGTATTTAATCAGTGATGCTCATTTTAAGAACTGTTAGGATTACTATACCACTTAAGTTTTTTCTTATGTGCTTCTGTAAGTTAATCCCCTTCTGATTAGTTCGGCATTCATTCTGAAGTGCCCTTAGCCCAGTCCTATATCACTGACTGGGAAATACAGACTACATTTAACTTTATTTTTCTTTTATAGGTTTTATCATGTATCCTGGATCCTCTCCTCCAGATGTGTACTGTATCAGCCAGCAATTTAGGCACAGCTGACATGGCCACTTTCATGGTCAATTCACTATATATGATGAAGACAACATTAGCTCTGTTTGAATTTACTGACAAACGTCTGGAAATGCTACAGTTTCAGGTTAATTTTGCCATAAAATGACTGCTCACTGTGATGGAACCTTTTTCTATATAAGATCTCAGTTACTGGCCTTAAGACCTAATTCCTATAAATCCCTTGTTATAGTCAGAAGGAAGGTCACACACATGTACACACACACATTCAGTGTTTCAGTTTTGTTTTGGAGAAGTCAGAATATATAATGAATAAGATATCGTATTCAAACTGTAGTATGTGATGGGAGGATGAAGCTGTTCTGATTAATCTGAATAATTCTTCTGTACGCAGATTTTGGTTTCTGAACTGTGGATAATATGCTGTATTTTTCAAGCTGTGTAACTGGTATAGAAGGTGTTACAGAGGACAGATATACTTTTATCTGTGTGTAAACCAGTGTCAGGCAAAACATTACCACCTGTTAAACCAATCACTCTGGTCCTTAAACCAAGTGATATCACTTAAGAGTTTGTATAATGGCTAAAACAAAGCCTTTTATAAAATTTACCAGATGCGTGGGTTCTGATTTTGACATAGTTATTTTTGATAGACATCATTAAAAAAATCCAAAAAACAAAACACAAAAATCCCTGGATGTTCTGTGTTACCACAAGTATATAAATAATATGGCAGAGACTGTAGTAAAAATTTACTTGTAAAGATTTGGGGATTTCTGAGAAATGAGTTTGTGATATTTTCTAATTCCTTTTTTTTAAAAGAAATATAATGAGCTATGATTAAGTCTCCTTTCTTGCATAACTTTGTTTTATGTAGAATAAATTTATTTTCTTACTGTATTTATCACTAATTCAACTACAGATTCTGCCATTTGTCTAAACCTTTTCTAAATCTAAGATGTCAGATATATCAGGTGTTTGTCAATCTGTTTTATCACCAATTACCTGCATTTCTTAAATATCCCATAGACACTTCCTGTGTTTCAAGAGGGCAGGCCCCCCCGTAAGTGCGTCACGCTTGCCGCTGGGCTGTGGGCCAGCGCTCGCCGCGTGGACCAGCCAATCAGCAGTGTGAGCGAGGGTGTACGGGGTGTGGTGCCGGCAGGCCCCAAAGCACCAGTTCACCTCGCGTGTGAGAGGTCCTTGGTTTTCACTCCTTATGCATCGTATTCATTTTCTTCCACTCTCACTTAGGTTCTTCTAGTGTTTCAAGGAAGAAGTCCAGGCTAGTTTGATTCTCTTTGGTTTGTGGTCGCCTAGTCTGTCCACCTGGAGGCTTGTAAGGATTTTCCTGTGCGTTCAGATAGCTCCTCGGGATATTTTTTGGGGTGTCTCTTTTTCCATTGTTTCCATCTTGGACTTTTCAGAGCCATTTCAGCCGGAAGATTCATTCAACTCTCTTTTGCTCAGTAAGGCTTTCTGTTCTCGTTAATTACTGCTTCTCCGTCTGTTACTTTTCATGTTCTGAGGCTCCTGGCCTTAGTTGGCTTTGTCTCCTGAATCTATCTTCTAATTTCTTTGTAAATCTCTTCACTTTAATCTGTCTCTCTGATATTTATTCTGTATTACTTTGCTTTCATTTTTCTTTCAGGTGCTAATTTGGTTCTTATTAGTGACTCTTTCATTAAATGTTTATATTTGTACATGTTGATTGTCTTTGATTTCTAGTAAGTCTAGTAAGTAAGGACCCTAATTGTACTGTCCTGGGCATTCACTTACAAAAAATAAAGTACCCTGTGTCTTTCAATGGTGTTACCTCAGGAACAGGTAACACTCTTAGAACCTACTGACCTCTTTTAAAATCAGGTATAAATTGTTTAGGAGGGGCTCAGCTATGGGCATTACTTGAACAGGGCAAGCATTCAGATGGTAGCAGCACAGCCTGTGGTGTTCTGTGCCATTGACAAACAGGCCAAACGGAGGGGACTTTGTGGTGAGGAACAGAAGCAGGCCTCCAGACTCCCAGACCGGTGCTGGTAAAAGACGGGAGCAGCGGACTTCCTCCTACTTGGAGACGCCTCCGCCCAGCAGGGTAGCTCCCTTCTGTGGATGTGGCCCCATCAGTATTAGGCGGCCTCCCCGAAGAGCATAGCGGGCGGACGCATACAACGCATTTCTGCTAGTCGGGCCCCCAGTTCCTGAACCTGAATCTGGCCAGCCTTCTCCTGGCTCCTCAACTCTGCCCTGGTTGTCGCAGACCTGCCTTCTCCTCAGGAGAACTCACGCCGCAGCCCCAGCAGCGTTGACGTCAGGCCCTTCCAGGGGGCACGGTCCACTGGCTGAGCCAGCTCAGCAAGCTGGGAGCGTGAGGGAGTGAGGAAGTCAGGATGTCGGGCCATCTTCCCGGAAGTCATCCTAAGTAGTTTATTTTACACTGCTGCTGTTATTAGTGGTTTCGGTTGTTTCTTTGCTTGCGGTTTGCTTGTCACCAGCGTTTCAAAGAGCTGAGAAGCAACTCACATTCTTGACTAGTCCTGGAATCCTCTTTCGTTACCACCTTTGAAAGAAAGACTTTTCCCCCTTTGGTGGAAGGACTTCTCTGTAGGGGAAGGAAAGGTCTTCATTATTGAGGCGGTGTGCGCCTTGGAGTCTGGCCTCATGGCCTCTGTGAGGAGACCCTGTGATGGGGAGCTAAGATTTAAGACAGTCTTCTTCTCTCGTCAGCCTTATTCCTCTCTTAAAATGTTTTCTCTCTGTTGTGTTTTATTTTAGATCGAAGCGCACTTGGACACACTTATAAATGAGCAAGCTTCTTATGTTTTAACTAGAGCGGGCTTGAGTTATATCTATAACACCGTACAGCAACATAAACCTGAACAGGTAAGCACGGGGCTGTTCCCAATTAGAGGCATACACCAGTTTAGAGTGTGGCTGCAGCTAGGCTCTGCTTTGAATCTTCGCTCTGCCACCTAATAGCTGTTTTTCACTGGGAAAGGGACCTATCTGTCTGTGTCCTCGTCTGTAGATATGTGTATCAGAGGGTTGTTCTAACAGTGAGTGAAATGATGCTTATATAGTTCTTAGATGATTACCTGGGATATAGTAGAGTGCCGCAAAATATGAAGTGTCCTTGTTACCACAGACAGTTTGGGTTAAAAGTAATGAAAATAGATAAAACTTTGAGTCCTATATCACCGTCAGTTGATTGAATGCATAGATTACTGTATAAATAGCTGTCATACCCATTTTAATTTAGCAGATCATGGTCTTTCATTTTGGAAAGATAAATGCTTCTGGAGCCAGCGTATGATCTTGATAAATTCTAGAACTCCAGTAGAAATAGATAAGGGAGTGGTGGGAACCCTAGAAAACCATACATCTTTCTTCAAAAAGCAAAAAACTCTTTTGAATGATATTAACATGAATATTTATAGCCCAGGAACTCTTAAATGAAGCTTTCAAAAAGCACAAGTTCCACAGTTGTTGTTTTGATAAAGTAGTAACACATTTTTACCAACAGGAACAGTTCTGTCTTTTTACACGATCTAAAAATCTCAAAGTTTAACCCGTAACGCCTCCATGTCTCACTGCCATTTTCTAAGTGCTTCATTGCCTTTTTTTCTTGCTTATCAGTAAACCTGAAATACGCTGGTTTTAAATTGTTGATGGGTGCTTCCCACCCACTCCAATATTACCGAGTGCCGTCATGCTCGTAAACAAAAGCGAGCAGCTCGAAGTGAGGCTAAAGAGGTGGCACTTGAGTTCTTTGGAGATGAGCTCCACTTCCAAATGGGGGCAGTCCACTAACGGACCGTGTTTCATAGAAGAACTGAAACGCATGGCACGTTTCTAACCTCTCGGTCTTGCCTTTTTCTCTTTGTTTTTTTAGGGTTCTTTAGCTAATTTGCCCAACCTAGATTCTGTGGCACTGAAGGCTGCGATGGTAAGTGCATAGCAAAGCATTTCAATATAGATTTCCTATGTGTGGAGCGTTATTCTTAATTTTTCCTGAATTGATCGTTTTGTACTGGGTGACGTTTTTATCGCTTGACATGCTGTATTCACATTGGGTCCAGTAATAATGATCGCATATATGTTACTGTAAGTCAGGCAGTCCGACCGAGACATAACACTAGTACTGTTCCACCGTGCCCTGGTAGTCTCATTCCTGCGTAGGCTGTCTTCATTTTCAGTGTTACTGCTAACTTCACGGAGAAACAGGAATGAGAGACACGACAAAGTGAGGCTATAGCTCATTCCAGACTTCCTACCGACTGTCCGTGAGCCCTGGCTTACCATTCTTGATTTCCTCCTGAGATGATACCTGAAATTGGATTTGAGTCTTAAAATAGTACATTATTCTTGAGTGTTAGACTCACCCGAAGCTGCACATGGTCGCTCGTTTCAAGTGCAGACCTTGCTTGCACACCCCTTTCTGCATGCCACCCTGTTTATAGCTTCTTTCCATGTTTTAGTATGTACTTCACGTGTGTGTGTTCATCAGATGGATGCCACGCCTTTAGCCGTCATAGGAACAGTCCCCTTAGGAAGGTTTATGATAATAACAGTAGTAGTAATAACACCAACAATGAATAATAACGCCATTCGCATTTGTTGAGCGCGCTAAGCGGTTCTCGGGTTAACTCTTTAATTCTTCTAAAACCCTGTTCAACCCAGTCCTTTCTCCTAACTGCTGTCCTCTCTCCTGGTGTTTCAATTCTCACCACCACAATGGTTTGACTGTAATAAATAGTTCTCTTAGGGCTTTCCTCTCTATCACCTTCCAGAGCTAAACTGAACTGAACATAAAAGGGAGAAGCCCAAGATCCCTAACAAATGCAAAGAATGCACAGCTGGCAGTATTACGATCAGACAAGGTAGATTGTAAAAACATTAAACAGGATAAATAAGGAGCATTGTGTCATGATCAAAGACAATATGTACAGAAGTAACAGTCATAACTTCTATATGTCAGACATCACAGCAAACTCTTAGAATGCAAAGATTTGATTCTAAAAAGTTCAAATAAAAATAAGTGAAAATGAATAAATTTTAGATTTATTGAGACAAATTTTTTAGAAAGTCAAATACACATTCACCATTTTACCCAGTAATTACACTTCAAGATATTTACCTCCCGAATGAGGACATTATGTCCATACAAAGATCAGTAACCTTAGTGCCCAATAAATGTGTTTCCTCCCTCTCTTTCTCCTTCCACCTGACACATATCCAGTCCATCATATAAACCCACAAAAGATATTTGAAACCCTTGCAAATTCTTACTTGCCTTAAACTTTAAAAACAATTAACTTGACTATCTTATTTCTCTCTAAAGAAAATCTTGACTGAGTTTTGTATGTGATCATTTTATCTATAACTGTCTGTTGCCTCTCAGATGATTCCGAGGCGCTTCAACTCAGCAAAACTGATCTCTATAGCTCTCCCTACCCCTGCCCCAGCCCCCACCCCAGGTCCTTCCCTGTGGTCTTCACGCACAGTGATAAGCACATCTGTCCATTTATTATTTCAGCAGTTACTGACCACTTAGCTGCTGTTCTCTAGGCATCGTACTAAGAGTTGAGATGAAAGTAGGCGTGCCCTAGTAAGGGATGCCACTATTATTAATACACAACTAAATGAATGTCTAAAAACGACAGTTGTGAATTGTGATAATGCGTGAATTTAATTACACAGATCCAGAATCTGGGAGTCACTCCCTTCATCCTGTCACTAACCAGATTTCAATGATTTTACTCTCATTCTCTCAGATATCTCCTCTTCTCTGCCTATATTGCCCTTGTTATCTGTTTTGCTGCAGTAGCTACCTATTTGGTTTCCTCGCAGTTACCAGGACAATCTTCCATTCCATTCTTCTTGCTGCTGCCAGATTGAGCTTCTTAAAATTTAAGTCAGATTATTCCCCTACCTCGTGGCCCCCTAGTGCTTTTACAGTAAGAACTAAAATCCTTTTAGAAAGCATATAAGTTATACATTAACTATTAGCCATTCTCCTTCTCACCTCAAGCCTTCACCATGCTGTCTCCACTCCCTGAACCCCCACTGCACACGCATCACTTACTGTCTGCTTATCCTTCTATCGCACTCCAAATGTCCTTTCTGCAGAGATGCTTTTGCCAACACACAGACTCGGCCCATCCTCCCGATTTATGCTTGATAGTCCCTTGGTTTTTTTCTTCGTAGCACCTAACGCAGTTTGTAAATATGTGTTTCTTTACATTATTATTTGTTTACTACCTCTCTCACTAGGCCATAAGCTCTGTGGTGCTGGGAGCGGCTCACCATTGTATTTACGTTACCTGATGTTACCAATATCAGCATCTTTCTAATAGCAGGGGCTTGACAAATACTAGCTGAATGAATAGATGCATGAATAATTAACAAAAATACAGTGGGTTTAAGAAAGTAAGGTAGACTTGAAATCTGATGACTTCTTGTTAATATTGGGTTGTCGGAAAAGGCATGACGTATTTTTTCTATGTTTTTCGTTGCAAAAATGCGTCATGACTTTTCCGGCAGCCCAATATTATTACTCAGAAGCTTGTTGAAGGAGATGAGATGAATAACTTAGATTTGGAATTTTAAAAGTAATTATTGCTGAGATTGACTACTTTAAAAAGTTGACACTTGCAGGGAGTGTAGTTAGAGTGTTTAAGAAATAACTCATTTTTCTCACAAAGAACTTGTTATTTGGAACATGGGCTCTCTTGCCTGAGATGCAGCCCCTAAGAGAGATGGTTAAATTTGAGATGTCTATTAGCAAATAACCGCACTTTTTTACATTTCTCTGATTCATTTAGGTTCAGTTTGATCGTTACCTGTCAGCCCCAGACAACCTGCTGATGCCACAGCTGAACCTCCTCCTAAGTGCCACAGTGAAGTAAGTGCATTTTAGTCCCAATTAGTTCGTAAAGAGTCAAGTGTTTTTAAAGACCAAGTACATTTCTTTGAAAAAAATTCATTTTCAAAAATAGCAGATTTCCCATTGAAGATCTATAGTTACCACCCTTTTTTCCTGCCTCTGCACCTCTAAGAGACCTGATCTTACCCTGTTCGTATTTATTCCTTGCTTGTACATAGCCCCCAAATCTCTGTTTAGTGAGTGATTCTTCTAATTAACATGAATATAATTGGAGCCGTATAGCTGTAATACCAAATCCCCTACATGAACAAGCATGTCGGAATGACACGGAGTATGTCACAGAACAGCAGTGACATCCTCGCTGCACAGTGCCGATGAGCCACGTGAAAGACGGGTTTGGACCTGGGCAGTTCCTGGAGATGTATTATAAAGTAGGTCAGCATCTCATATTTATCAGGAAGGTGGTTAGAACAGAGAGCTATACACATGAAAACAGTAGAATATTATAGTTTGAGGAAACAGAGCATATTATCTGAGTCTCTTGATTTAAGAAAAATATCGACAAAATTGTCTACAAGTAGGAAGTTAGTTAACAGCTATACATTTTTTTCCCTTTCTATTCAGTCATCTGTGTATTAAGTGCTTTCTCTGTAATAGTTACTTGGGATCGAGATTTAAAAGGCATTTGCACTGTCTTCATGGAGATTATAATCTGATGGGTCAATTAGACACATGAACAAATATTTACATTAGAAAGTGCAGAAGGAACGAACTGTCAGACTTGAAGACAATACTTCAGATGTCTGAAAGGGTGTGCTGGCGCAGAGGTGGCCCAGTAGCTTTCTGTCATTGCATAGGGAAGGCCTACAGCTATAAACAGGGTAAGCGGGTAGATTTTGGCTTAACATGCAGGAGAATTGGATATTGGTTAGAAGTGGCTGAAAATGGGTGGACCATTTTCCTCTCAGACATAGAGTTAAGGAATTCGCATATTAGGTGTGGTTAGAGTAAATGATTTTCATATTGTTTTATTATCCTAAAAGATTTCATACTATCTACACAACCGGGATTCTAAAGACCTGAGAGATTATAAAAGGAACTCCACTTTGCTATGTCTCAAGTTATTTGTTTCTTAAATCATTTCATTTTTAACCAAATACATTTAATTGTTTTAGATTTAACCACATTTTAATGTGTAGTGTTTGAATGTTGAGTTGTTTGGAGCATCAGTAAATATAAAACATGTCATTACCCTTCTCATAATATAATAGCTGAGGGGAAATTTTAATGCGTTTTAAGGAATGGCATGTAGCCAGATGCCACAAGGAAGAGATGGACAAATTTGGCTGCATAACACTTCGAAGTTTTTTGCAGAACAAGACAATTTAAACTAAGTTAAAATATAGACAATAATGTGGGAAGATATTTGCAGATTATGTAACAATTATCCTTAATATATTATCCTTAATATAGAATGAGATCTCACAGATCAGCACAAAACAGTAGAAAACCAGGCACCATATGATTCAACAATTCACAAAAGAAAAGCAAATGGTGAATAAAGATTTGAGAAGATAATAATTATCAAAAAATGCCAATTAAAACAGCAATGAGAATTTCTCCCTTTCAGATTTCTGACAAACATTTATCGTATGCTGATGGACAGGAGCTGGGAAAATGGGAATTTTCATACTATGTTGTTGAGAGTACAAAGTAGTACAATTTTTTAGGCTGCAGTTTGGCAATATATGAGAAGATCAGAATTTAAAAGTACATGTCCTTAGGCTCAGTGACACCCATTTTCTTTTTTCTTTTTTTTTTTTTTAAGTTTATTGTTCAGTTACAGTTGACACAATATTATATTAGTTTCAGTGCTCAACGTGGTGGTTAGACATTTATATATCTTATGAGGTGATCACCTCAGCAAGTCTAGTACCCACCTGGCACCATGCGAAGTTATTACCATATTATTGTCTATATATTCTATACTGTACTTTACATCCCCATGACAATTTTTGTAACTGCCAATTTGTCCTTAATCCCTTCACCTTTTTCACACATCCCTCAACCCCCCTCCCTGGCGACCATTAATTTGCTCTCTGTAGCTATGAGTTTGATTGTTTTGTTTATTCACTTATTTTGTTCTTTAGATTCCACATGTAAATGCGATCACGTGTTATTTGTCTTTCTCTGTCTGACTTATTTCATTGAGCGTAATACCCTCCATGTTGTTGCAAATGATAAGATTTCATTCGTTTTTATGCCTAAGTAATATCCCATTGTGTGTGTGTATCACATCATCTCCTTTATCCATTCATCTATCAGTGGACACTTACGTTGCTTCCATATCTTGGAGATTGTAAATACTGCCTCAGTGAGCAAAGAGGTGCGTGTGTCTTTTCGAATTAGCATTTTGTTTTTTTTTTGCATAAATACCCAGGAGTGGAATTGCTGCGTAATAAGGTAATTCTATTTTTAATTTCTTTGAGGAACCTCATACAATTTTTTATAGTGGCTGCACCAATTACAGTCCTGCCAACAGTGCACCAGGGTTCCCTTTTCTCCACATCCTCACCAACCCTTGTTGTTTGTTGATTTATTTATGATGGTCATTCTGACAGGTGTGAGGTGGTATCTCATTGTGGTTTATTTGCATTTCCTTGATGATTAGTGATATGGAGTATCTTTTCATATGTCTATTGGCCATCTGTATGTCCTCATGGAGAAATGTCTGTTCAGGTCCTCTGCCCATTTTTTAATTGGGTTGCTTGTTTTTTTGGTGTTAGGTTATATGAGTTCCTTATATATTTTGGGTATTAACCCTTATATGATGTATCATTGGCAAATATGTTTTCCCATTCAGTAGGTTGTCTTTTTTGTTGATAGTTTCCTTCACTGTGCAAAAACTCTTTAGTTTGATGTAGTCCTATTTATTTTTTATTTTGTTTCCCTTGCCTGAGGAGACACATTTAAAAATATATTACTAAGAGCAATGTCAAAGAGTTTACTGCCTATGTTGTCTTCTAGGAATTTAATGGTTTGGGGTCTTACATTTACGTTTTTAATTTATTTTGAGTTTATTCTTGTATGTGGTGTAAGAAATTGATCCAGTTCCATTCTGTCCAATTTTCCCAGCACTATTTTTTGAAAAGACTTTCTTTATCCCAATGTATATTCTTGCCTCATTTGTCATACATTAATTGATCATACAATATTGGTGTGGATTTATTTCTGGGTTCTCTGTTCTGTTCTATTGATCTATGTGTCTGTTTTTATGCCAGCACTGTGCTGCTTTGATTATGATAGCCTTGTACTATAGCTTGATAACAGGTAGTATGATACCTTCAACTTTGCTCCTCTTTCTCAAGATGGCTTTGGCTTTAGGGTCTTTTGTGGTTCCATATTAATTTTAGGATTATTTGTTCTAGTTATGGGGAAAATTCCATTGGTATTTTGATTGCATTGAATCTATAGTTTGGGTAGTATGGACATTTTAACAATGTTTGTTCTTTTTTTCTATGAGCACAGTATGTCCTTCAATTTATTTGTATCTTCTTCAGTTTTTTTCTTAGTTATCTTATAGTTTTCCAAGTACAGGTCTTTTACCTTCTTGGTTAAATTTATTCGTAGGTATTTTTTTTTTTATGCAATTGTAAATGGGATTATTATTTTTTATTTCTCCTTCTGATAATTTGTTGTTTGTGTAAAGAAAGGCAGCCAATTTCTGAATATTAATTTTGTATTCTGTTACTTTAATGAATTCATTAATCAGTTCTAATAATTTTTTGGTGGAATCTTTGGGGTTCTCTCTGTATAATATCATGTCATCCACAAATAATGACAGTTTTACTTTTTCCTTTCCAATTTGGACACCTTTTATTTCTTTTTCTTCTCTGATTTCTGTGGCAAGGACTTCCAATACTATGTTGAATAAAAGTGGTGAAAGTGGACATCCTTGTCTTGTTCCCGATGTTAAAGAAAATGCTTTTAGCCTTTCCCCATTGAGTATGATGTTAGCTGTGGGTTCTTCATATATGGCCTTTCTTATGTTGAGGTGTTGTTCCCTCTATTTCCACTTTGCTGAGAGTTTTTATCATAAATGGATGCTGGATATTGTCAGATGCTTTCTCTGTATCCATATGAGCATATGATTTTTACCCTTCATTTTAGTTATGTGGTGTATTTCCTTAATTAATTTGTGGATATTGAACCAACCTTGCATCCCAGGAATAAATCCCACTTGATCATGGTGCATGATCTTGTTAATGTATTGCTGAAAATTTACTGGATGGGCTCACCCACCCATTGGACACGCTAAGAGGGAAGATCAGTCAACTTGCAGGGAGTATGGAAACCGTCCAAACTGAAGCACAGGTAGAAAGAAATTAGTCTGGAATAAAGATGAAGTCAGTTAGTGAATTGCAAGATAATATTAGGAAATCTAATGTAGGTGTATAACTGGAGTAGCATAGTGAGATTAAGGCTGAAAAAATTTGAAGTAAAATATTTTTTTCCAAATGTGATGGAAAACATGAACTCACAGACCTAAGAAGGTAAATAAACTCCAACAGAAAAAGCCATATCAAGCAAAACGCCATATCAAGGCACACCATAATCAGATTATTAAAAACCAATGATAAAGAGATAAAATATTAAAAGCAGCCAGAGGAAAGAAACCAAAAATTATTTGTGGGGAACAATGATAAGTATACTATATACTACTGACTTCTTATTAGAAACAGTGCAAACCAGAAGATAGTAGTAGACCGTCTTTAAAAAGCTGAATGATAAAACAGTGTCAGCTTTTATTATGTATTCATCAAACGTATCTTTCAAACCGAAAGCAAAATAAACACATTTTGAGATGAACAAAAGTGGAAAGGCTTTATCACCGATGTACTGCACTGCAAGAAATGACAAAGGAAGTTCTTCAGGCTGAAGGAAAATGATGCCAGCAGAAAACTCAGATCCATACAGAGGGCAGACAAGCACAGGAAATACTAAATATGAAAGATAATTGACGGTTTAAAACAGAAATACTAATGGTGAATTGTGGAATTTTTAACAGAGAAATAAAGTTTATGAGAACAAAATACAAAAGATGAAGTAAGAGGGGGCCGGCCGAGTGGCTCAGTTGGTTAAGAGTCAGCTTAAGAGCGCAGGCTCTGAGCAGCAGGGCCGCCAGTTCGATTCCCACATGAGCAAGTGATACTGTGCCCGAGCTCAGCTGCTGTTGAGCTGCCAACCGGTGACAGGATGGCTCAGCTGGTGAGAGCACATGCTCCTAACAACAAGACTGTTGGATGGTGGGCTACGCCCGCCCGCAACTAAGACTGAACTCGGCACCTGGAGCTGAGCTGCCGCCCGGATGGCTCAGTAGATAGAGCGTGCACTCTTAACAACAAGGCTGCTGGTTCAACTCCTGCATAGGATGGTGGCTACACCCACCCGCAACTAAGACTGAACTCAGCATCTTGAGCTTAGAGGCCACGAGCTGCCTACGGGCAGTCATATGGTGACTGGTGCCCTCCGCAACTAAGATTGAAGAACAACAACTTGGCTGGTCCCCTCCACAGCTCCCCAAAACTGTTCCCCTCTCCCAACACCCCAATTTAAAAAAAAAAAAAGATGGAGTAAGAGGGAGGGAGAAATATACTGTTGTGATGGTGTAAGTTTATTAAATTATCCATGAAATATATAATATTCTTTTAGGTAGATTATAAACTTTACAGCAAGCGCCAGAAGAAACAAACAAAAATTGTCTAAAATGCCTATAGACAAGATAAAGTAGAATGTTAAAAAACGATTATATCAAAAGGCAAAAAATGAGGGAAGAGAACAGATGAGAAAATGTAAAACAGGGTGATAGACTTAAATTCAGCCATGTAAGTAATTATATACACTCCAATTAAAATGCAAAGCTAGTTAGAATGGTTGAAAAAGCATAGCCCAGCTGTGCTATCTATAAAAAACAGTCCCTGCCCTCCTGCCACCTTCATACAATGGGGAGGATTTAATAAATAGTAAATATAAAATGTCTTATCTCAAAACCAAGATAAGTAACTTGTGTAGCAGCACAATGATTTTTTAATAGTATCTGTGATAATTATGAAAATGAGATGCACGGGTCCAATTTTGAAGGTTTCTTACAGTTCTTAGTATTTTCAGATTGTGTTTTCACGTTTTGTCTGTTTGTCAATAGAGAGCAGATCATAAAGCAGTCTACGGAGCTAGTCTGCAGGGCGTACAGTGAAGTGTATGCTGCCGTGATGAATCCAGCCAATGGGTACAAAGATCCAGAGAGCATCCTCCACCGATTGCCTCAGCAAGTGCAGACGCTTCTTTCCTGAGGATGCTATTGCCTGTGGCACCAAACATCGCATCTCCCAAACGCTGAAGGTTTTCTTCGGTTTTAGTCTGTGAATCTTGACTTTGAAATGTGATGGTTACAGTTGTCATTGCCTCATAAGATTGTAAGTCCCAGCAATTGTTCTGCTTTGGCCCCGGTAACGTGGAAGTGGCGTGTGTTGACCTGAGTTAGCGTTGCGCTGTTCCCTGTGTGGAGATGCTCTGTTCTCTGCTAGCCGACCCTCCAGTTCGCATTCCCCCGCTATTCTGGAGTATTAGTGTGTGCAGGGGGGAAAAGTAGTACAAGGCGTTTGAGGGATTTTCTACAAGGTTAGTTCTAAATTAACTAGACATAAAAAGTTTAAGATTTAGTATGAGGATATGCCCTAATAAATGTCTCTTTATCTAAAGATTCGATTTTTTTCCTGTTATTAGTGTGACTAGGTGTACTTAAACTGAGGAGCAGAAATATACACTCAGCAAAAAGGGGAAAAGAGAGAAGTAACTTAAACAGGGTGGATTCCACTCTGTGTGCCCTGGACTGAATTCAAGGGGAAGTTTAGCACTTCCGATGGGTTTCAGGTGTGTAGGCATCCTGTCCTGCTTATGAATCTAGTGGTTCAAGATGGATATTTGTTATACAAGGAGGACTCTAATGCAACCAAGTACAAATTTTATCTGATGTTCAAATCAAAGAAATAATGATCTACCCTAACACTGGAAGGAAAAGGCCCAAGTAGCAATTGCCAATTGACACTAATTGTTGTTTGTCTCCATGGTGGCCCCTTAAAGAATGATTTGAGTTCTGACTTTAGAACTTTACCTGTAATAATATTCAAAATCACTGTTTTGTTTTTTGTTTTTTTTTAATAAATCTCAGTGTGTTTCATGTGACTTTCTTTGTTGGTCAGATTTTGAGGACAATTCTTATTAACAAAATGTCTAATTTCCGATAAAGCCAAAGAGGTAAGTCCCTAAATTATAAAGGAGAAAACTGAGGCATAAGGAAAAAATTGACTGGGTTCAGATATTTTGAAAAGTAGTAAGATGAAATTAATATTTATGTAATAAATTAATATTTACAGAACATGACCTATTCATCTATCTGAGATTTATAGTTATCTATTAATGTGATTCTTTTGGTACAAGAAGATTATATATTATCTCTTTTGGTATAAATCTGTATTTTTAGTCTTTTTCCTCCAATGAGTTTATGTGATATATAAAAGATAGAAAATAAAGTGTGATATAAATTAAGAGCTTACATTTTATTAATATATAACTTATTTCTACTGTGAAGAAAGATTGTTGCCTTACTATTAATGAATTCCTTTATTTTCTAGGAAAAAGGTATATTTGACTTTTTACCTAGTTTTCTCAAATAAAATATTAAACTATATCTAGAGCAGCAATCATTGCAGTATTTTTGTACATCTCATTAAAGTGTTTTAAGAAAATGTACTAATAGAAAAGGAAATACAATATACGCGCTATGATAAAAAAATAAGGTGAATGTTTAAATAATTCATTACAGTAGAAGACACATTGTCATTAATCCCCCTCACTTTGAACACACTTATCCCATCATTCATGCCACTTTCTGAAGCAGTTCTGGAAGTCCTTTTTCTTGAGTGTCTTTAGTTGTGCTGTCGTGGCTGCCTTGATGTCCTGAATCGATTCAAAACATTTACCTTTCATGGCCATTTTGACTTTGTGGAAGAGCCAGAAGTCGCATGGAGCCCGAGATGGTGAATAAGGTGGATGAGGACACACTGTAATGTTTTTTGACAGAAATTGCCATGTACCAGAAATGATGTGTGACACGGAGTGTTGTCATGATGGAGGATGAGGTAAAGACACGAAAGAGGACTTCCAGAACTGCTTCAGAAAGTGGCAAGAATGATGGGATAAGTGTGTTCAAAGTGAAGGGGGGTATTTTAAGGGGGATTAAGTGGCAATGTGTCTTGCACTGTAATAAAATTTTTTAATTTAAACATTCACCACATTTTTTGATCACACCTCATAGGTTCAAATTGAGATAACCATTGGAAGGAAGATTGGTGAGCAGAATGAAATATTGATATAACATTGAGAACCAAGTCAAAATAAAAGATTGTAAGTGTTAATCCATTAGCAGAGCACTTATATTTGCCAGGTACTTCATAGTTTGCAAATTGAACTGTTTTGATGTGTAGCGCAAGTATAACCTTGGATAATGCATGCCAGCCTTTCCTTCAGAGAGAAAAGGTGTTTGCCTGGCAAAAACCTCTCATTGAACTTTTCCATTTCTTCCTCTGAGGCTTTGCTTGAACAGGTGAATGTTACCTGAGAAAAACCACATACATGGATTGATTGACTTTTTACATTTTTGATCCCAGGCTTCACGTGGCTGTCGATACAGCTTTGTAGTTCTACCCTGTCTCTTGGTAAACTCACTTCCCCACTTTGAAGATGACTTTTCTGCCCCCACTCTTAGTTACCGACCTTCGTAATTCACTGAGAAAATAGAAGCTGTTAGATTAATCCTCGTGTTCCTGCCCTCAAATATTGCGCGCATCTTCCCATCTTCCGTTTGCGTTGGAGACTGTCGCTCACCCTGTGACAGGCTGCCTCTTTCCTCTGTGCTCCGGGTTCCGTTCTCGCACCTTCTCAGACACGTTCCTCTCGGAATTCTCTCCCCATTTTGCTTCATCAACAACTTGTGAGTTCTCTATAGGAAGATTCTCAGCAGCATACACAGTGCTGTAGTGTTGACAATATTTTTTAAAACGCCCCACCTCCCAGATCCTAACAACTGCACTTGTCTGCTTGTCTCTGTGGCTGTTTACTCATGCTGTCTTCTCCTTCTGCTGCCCTTATGCCTTTCAAGTGCCCCAGTATGGCTTCAGCCTCTTCCCACTACACCAATATGAACCCTGATGAGATTTCCATAGCATCGTATGCTGTCACGTCAAATGGGTTCTTCTCTGTTCTTATCCTGTTGAACTCTCAATAGTATCCTACACACTCTGTTTGAAAGACTATCGTTTCCAGACTTCCATGACACCACTCTCTACTTTTTTCCTTGCATTTCACTGGCCAAACCCCTTTTTGACCGGCTTCCCTGGCTTTTTTTTTGCCTCCATGTAACTTCTAAAGATTGGCATATGCTGGGGCTTGACCCTGGGATCTCTTTTTCCCTCTCTTTAAGGGTTGCTTGTTTATTACCTCAACATAGCCTACCCATTCCTGACTGCTATTAGCTCAGTTGTCTTTAGAGATATCTACATAATGGAATACTATATAGTAGTGAAAAAGAATGATTTCCAAATAATAATGTTGAACAAAAAAAGAAAATCACAGAATAATATATATGTTTCTATTTATATAATTTTTAAATAGAAGTTAAAATTATACATTATTTATGACTATATGCTGTAAACCTATAAGGAAAATACAGGAAATGATGAACAGAATTCAAGATTGTCTCTGGGGAGGGAAACATAGGATCTGTTGAAGTTACTAAAAATGCTCTACTTTTACACTGGATTGTTGGTTTGTGACTTCATTTTATTACTTTCTGAAGTTTACATATGTAAACTTACAAGATGAACTCGTGTGTGTATATTTCACGATTTAAAAAAGTTTAAAAATTTTTCTTACTGCAAGGCCTTGCGTAAAGTTAGCAATCAATATATGTTAGCTAATTTAAAAAATTATTCTTACTGAACATATTTATTAAATACCCACTAGTGGCCAAGCTCTGTGATAAGCACCAGGGTTACCTGTCGCTGAGGAATTCCTCGTCTTGCACAGAAATAGTTATGTGTGTTATGAGTAAACATAGTGTGATTTGATAGGGTGCTTGTGTATGCAGGTACCAGGACAACGTGGCGTCCTTTGTAACAGCGGGATGTGTGTGCTTGATGCTGAAGAGACTGGAGCACAGAGAAGACAGCTTTAAAACACAGCCGTACAGTTTTCACTGAGATGATCATAATGACTGGCTTGCATTAGTTAGCTATTTGATTAAGATGTAAATTTGTATTATGGATGGGGACATCGACAAAAATGGTGGATTAAGAAATTCCAAAATTCTGCCTCACTAAAAGCAACAATAAAACTGGCTCCCAAAACCAACATTTCAAAACTCTAAAAACAGACTGAAAACTCACAGCAACTGGGTTATGCTTATTACAAACAAACAAACACTGAATCTTGGTAAGACCAGCATACTTTGTGGTATTTTAACTTACGCGAGTCCTATACGTTGCTCCCGAGCCCAACAGTAGCCTTGAAAACAACACCCCACATTCCTGATATTGAAAAAAGCAGAATGGACTTTGGTTTTTTTTCCCCCCTAAAGATTTTCCTTATTTGATCTGCCTCATGGCTCCTTGGAAGACCCATTTGAAGAGCTTGTCTTTATCTTGTCTAACTCGGAACTTGCCCAATGCTAAAGGCTCTAACTGGTGGTTAGGGGTAAGCAATGGATAATCTAAGCAATGGATAACCATTGGGGCAATCAATAGACTAACCAAAAAACCTGGAAAGAAAGGTTAGAAATGAGATATCCCTAAGGGCTTTAAAAAACTGACACATTACTGGAAATCTAGAAAGCTATGCACATGTCTAGGATTGTATGCATGCTAAAGAAAAACCAGAGACACTCTAAGCTGTCACCTCTGGCTGACATTGAGGCTTTGTGCAAGCAGGAAGTAAAGGCTGAAGCAGTTAGACGTCACCTGGCTGAATGTTGAAGGCATGCCCCAACACTCACACTGAATTTGCCAGCAAAGACTAGAAGATTTTTTTGCTCCAGACTTGCAAGGAAATCTCTAATCATTAGCTGACATCTAAACTGATGGACCAGAGACTTTTAAGTGGTGACACACAAGAGTATAAATTTTACCTAATTAGTTCAGAAAAGTCAGTAAAACAATAGCACCTACAAAAGCAGCAATAACAACAAACTCTGAGGGATCAGGTGGGAGAATCTGATTTTCCAGCAGAAGGGGCACATAATAATCAAAATGCCCACTTTTCAAGAAAAAAAGTTGACAATACACTGAAAGTATCGCCAATACACAGAAAAAAAAATCAGCCAATAGAAACTTCCTGAGGAAGGACAGATGTTGACTAAACAAAGACTAAATCAACTATTTTAAATATGTTCAAGGACTGAAGGAAAACTTGTCTGAAGAACTAAAGGAGTGTATGAGAGAACACTATCCCACCAAATAGAGAATATCAATAAAGAGGAATTGCAAATTTTATAGTTATAAATTTATACTTATGAAAATTATGAAGTTTAATTTTATAAAAAGAAACTTCTACAGTTGAAAATTATAACTGAAATTTTAAATGTTCGCAATAGGGATCAACAACAGATTTGTGCGGGCAGGAAAAAGAATTAGCAAACTTGAAACTAGGTCATTGAGATTATTTAGTCTGAGGAATAGAATGAGAAAAGAATGAAAGAAAATCAACAGATCCTCAGAGACTTGTGGGATATTAACTATATACAAACAGTGGGTGTCTCAGAAGAAAAAGAGGGGAAGAAAGGGGCCAAAAGACTATTTGAAGAAATATTGGCAGGAAACTTTCCAAACTTGACTTAAAAAACAATATACGTATTCAAGAAATTCACCAAACTTCAAGTAGGATAAACTCAAAAGAGATACACATCATAAACTATCAAAAGCCAAAGACTAAGAGGGAATCTTGAAAGCAGCAAGAGAAGTCACCATCATGTATAAGTGATCCTCAAAATTAACACTTGATTTATCAGAAAGCATAGAAGCCAGGGGGCATTGGATGATACATTCAAAGTGTTGGAAGAACAAAACTGTTAACTTAGAATTCTATATCCAGCAAAACTACCTGTGAAAATATAGGAGAAATTAAGACATTTCCAGGC